AAAGATTTGTGTCTCTCCTAAACCACTTGTGATTCAAGGACAAGAAGACAAGGACACAAAGGAAGGCCAAGGACAAATTAGCCCCAGTTAGAGAAATTTGGGATACTTTCCAAACAAATCTATCTTTCCAGAAGTAACATCACAGTTAACAAGCAACTCATCCCATTTCACCAAAGGTGCTCTTTCATACAATACCCAACAAACCAGATAAGTATGGCGTAAAGATTTTCTGGACATGTGATGCAAGAAACATCTTATCCATAGAAAGGGAAACCATACTGTGGAAAAGAGGCACCTTGGTCAGGAGAAAATGGCAAGACACAAAATCTTGGAGCAAAAATAGTTCTGAAAATTCAAGGGCAGTGGCGGCAACTTATTCACTGAGTTGAAACTTGCTAATGATCTCACAAAGCAACACATCACCATTGTTGGGACAGTAAGATGAAATAAAAAAATTCTACACCCACAGTTCCAACAGCCCAAATATCAAAAGTTGAATTATTCAATTTGTAGATTTTCAACAGAGGCCACTATCATATCCTATCATTCAAAGGGAACAATACACCCTGTTGTGCACCACACATGATAACAGTGCTGTGATTCCAGGTGAGAAATGGAAGCCTGAAAATGTAATTGATTATAACAAAACCATAGTCGCCTTTGACTGCATGGACAAAATGGCACACACCTTTACAACCAAATGCAAAACAAAGTGGTGGCCAATGGTATTGTTTTACAATTATTTAGACTTGTGTGCTCTTGACACCAAGATTTTGTGGTCAAAACACAACCAGACAAGCAAACTGGCCCATCCTGGTAATAGACAGATTGCAAGACAGCTAATGGCAGTAAATATCAAAAGAGGGATGCAGCTGCCAAAGGTTTTCCTTGAGAAATGTAATAGAATAGCTCTCAAACACACATTACTTGTATTCCTGAACTATGTGCATCCTACATCGCAAAAAAGCCATGTACTAATCAATTGACCTAATAAAAGAGATGTGAACATTGCACTGCCAAGAATGACAGAAAAACAAAACTGTGTATGTGGAATGGCAATATGGATAGAGCATACTCTTACCATTTTTGGACAATGTGAAATAAGAAAATAAATTATGTTTGTTATTTATAAAATAAAATCATGTCCATGGTATGCATGTCAGTATGAATGATGTGTTCTAATAAGTACCATAATAATAGACAAAAAATTCACCAATGTTTATTTATACTTTTAGGGTTTGGTTATTACATTCTCCATTCCCCCCCCCCCCTATAAATATATATATATATGGGTGGATTCCACTCATATGCAGGGAAATCACCGGGCACAGTGAAAGTTATTTATTTTTACTTTTAGGGTTTTGTTATTACATTCTCCACTTCCCCCCCCCCCTTATAAATATATATATATATGGGTGGATTCCACTCATATGCAGGGAAATCACCGGGCACAGTGAAAGTTAAATTGAATATTGTTAGTATCACTAGCTTTGGTATTGTTTTTCTTTATATACTGGTTTTCATTCCTTTTTTATGTATTGTTCATTCTATGAGCCAGATCTCAACAGATTAAATTTTCAAAACCATGTAACCTCAGATTAAATTTTCAATGGTCAGTAACACCTGGTATTGACTAACGAAATATATTTAAATATCATTAGTTGGCTTATTAACCGGACTATTACGATTACTAAAATTTCCTACATTATGCTAAGCTGACAGTGCCAATACAGTATATCTATGCCTAACACCTACTAAAAACATAACAATATGACATTCACAAACATTGACATCATTGTTTTGTAGGCTAATTCTTATACCCAATTCTAATTAGGTCTAATTTAACTTGAGACTGATTGATTGATTTTAAAAAGTAATAAAATCTTGATTAAGTCTAACCTTTGATATTGAAAAGCAAAAAAGTTATTTGAATAAGTGCCATGACGAGTAGCATTAGAATTTAGGGTCAAGTGGAGCTCTGACTCTTCAAAAGGAAAGCCACAAAAATACATAAAGATAAAAAAAATAGAATATACATTGGAGCTAGGGAGTAAATGCATACCTAAGCTCTCCATGTACACAGGTCAAAGAAAGCAGTTGAATTACCTCACATAATTAAAGTCATGATAAATGAGTCATTTAAAAAAATGTTTTTATCAAAATTATACACTTGTAGCAGGCATAAGTATCGTCTTAATTATACAAATAATTATTCATAATACATGAATTAATTGCAGTGTGCAGGATCTTTGTTCTTGGGCTGAATATAAATATGCAATTACAAGAAAAGTCCTATTTCATTTAGAAATGAAATGACAAGCAATGCCTTTTAATTATTAGCCGTACATTTAATTTGATCCAGTAACCAAAAGGCAGAGAACAATCACTGTTGATGATATTGATTAATTACGAATGGTTCAAGCCATTATGGATATTTAAAAATAATCAAAGTCAAAATTGAATTGTTCATCACATGTTTATGTCATATAGATCAGATGTCTTACTTTTTGTCTTAGAAGACAGAATCATTCTGTGGTGTGACATTTGGCAGTACGCCTAAGTCTAGTCTTAAAAAAAATAAAATTAAATCTCTCATGGACGTAAGATACTGAGACATATTCAACGATGCACTCAGAGTGAATACCAAAAAAAGGAGCAAATCCTGTTGCCTTTGTGCACTTAATAATTACACTTACAGCAATGTCACAGTATATTAATACCATATCAAAAGTTGATTTAAAAAGAAATTTATTTTGTTTTTTAAATTATTTCAAGTTTCTACAACTTAAGCATGGCATCTCGAATAATGATGATTGGACAAGTTCTTCAACGAGAGGTTCTGAAGCCCAGAATAGTGAATATCCGGGTGATACAACAGATCTATGATGAACGTTTACATATGGTAATATTTTAAATTTTAAAATTATTCACAGTCTATTAATTGCAATCCTTTTAACTTTAATCTAATTTGAATTATAAAATCTATTAAGGAGTCCTGGAACGCCTATGAGCTATGCAACTTGAAAAACAAAATCTTGAATTTAAACCTTAAATTGTTATTATTTGGCTGGTTTTATGAAACTTTGACATCATTTATATAAATATAAGCAAATAAGTTTGTCTGTTTTTTCTTTATTTTAAAAATGGAATGGGAAAGTAATTCCTATTTGCATGCACTAAAGCAGTTGTCTCATAGTGAGACTATGCAAAGGGCCACATGAGCATAATTCAATGGTTGCAACACACTTAAATGCATCGTCATTATGCATTAAATTTTTATTTTTTTTACAGTACAGTATTTGAGAATATATTATGAAAATATTTATGTGGACCCCAGGCCTTCAAGTTTGAAACCCCTATCCTATCTCAAGCCAATAACTTTTGGGAATTTTAGACATCATTGCTCGTTATTGATTTCAGCAACATGTGAAACAATTTATTTAATTTCATTATCAATGTCTTATTTCAATGACAGTTTTTCCCAGAACCCAAAGATTTCAAAGTGTTGGAGGAAAAAGTTAAAGTAAATTCAGGAGATATAGTTAGATTTGAACAGGTGAGTACCTTTAGTGAATTTCTTTGATACAGTAGGTAATAATTTTTCAGTCTTATTAGTGGTAATCCATCAAGAAAATATGTTTTTTTTTACCAATTGAAAAGGTTAGGAAATGTTTACTCATTATTTTAAAATTATGTAATAGCAAAGCATTTTCATTTGCATAAGCATCATTATTGTTTTTTTCAAGGCTGTATTTTCTACTGAAAAATTTCTTAATAACATTTTAGGTACGTCTTATTTTTTTTATAAATCAAATTTTATGCATTATGTTTTTCAGTAATTATTATATTTTTAACTTCTCAGCTTCCAGAAAAGATCAGTGTGGAAGTTGAGCATGAAATAGTTGAGGTTGTTTTTCCTATTGGTCGAACTGTTGATCCAGTTACAGGGAGGAGATGTCGAGGCTTGAAATTTATAGATGATGAGGCCAGGGAAGAAGAGGCCAAGAGGATAGCAAGAGCTAAAGAATGGACAAATTATTCATTATGATTGTAATGTTTTTAAAAAAAGTATGAGTTACCTGAAGGAATTTTGTAAAAGAATTAGAAATTAAGTTTATTTCAGACACCCGAGAGAATGATAAATTGTTGTCTTTGAATGTTTTACATGTTTTATTTATACATTTGGAATAAAAAAATGTTTCATATTCATAAATCAACTTTTTATTCTTCTTGGCATATTTATTACTATTAACAAAGTTTTAAGTTACCATGTATGGGGAAGTAAAAGAATAATGCAGTTTGAAATGTTTCTCATTCATCATTTTAATGCAGTACAATATAATTTATGATTTTTACTATTACTTGCCTATTTTACATGAAAATCAAGTCTTTGATTAATTAATTCAATTCAACCTTTTTCCCTAATTTATAAATAATATAGCTGTAAGATTTTGAAATTAGTTTCTTTTTTGAAAGAGGTTCAAATATAAATGCCTGCTTCACATATTCAGTACAAGAAAATAAAAACTTAGCGCTATGTCATTCTTTTGTTAAAATGATACAAAATACAGGTACCATATTTAGAATCCAACTTCCAACCCCTACTGCATGATACCCTCACAAAGTAGCCCTTGCAACCAGTGAACTATCCTCATCAACACCAGGCACAGAAACAATGCAAATATTCCCTCTACATACATAGGAGCCAAAATGATCCATTAATTGATCGTGGGCCCTTAATATATAGAAGTAGAAGTATGAAGAGAAAAAAAAAAAGACAAGTTGTTACCAAGCAGGCCAAAGTCCTACATGGGCTGTAGCAACACAGGGATGGATGGATGTTACCAAGCAATGATTGTCATTGTCTAAACTGTAACTGTAGCTCCAAACAATACTTCCTTAAATTTTTAACCTCTTTAATAGGATCACAGCAGTTCACACAATTTTATTTTTATTGTAACTAAATGCAGATTTTCTCCTTTATCTAATCTGTTGCATGCCTAAGTTTTAAAAAAAAAAAACAATGCACAAAAAAATAAACTTAACCTTTGTTATTGCAAAAAGATTTTTAATGATCAAAATAAGGTATATAAAAACCATTGTACGGTATTTAAATATTTTCAAAATTTGATTAAAAGCTCTTGTACAACTACCATAGTTAATTTATCAACATAATTTTGGCACGAAGCTAACACAAAACTTAAGGTATAAGTATAGTATATTTATAATAATCAAGTACAGTACTGTGATTCATATTCTATTTGCTGATTCATTCTCTGGAAGAAACTGTGATGAGCTGCTAGGCAAAACTTGGTGATTTCTTCTCACCACAGATGTCATGAGAGCTGCTCCCTTGCTGACAGCAAAAGAAAGTGATAAGCAAGATTGGGCGACCAACATTTTTGATTTTTCAAATAATTTCATCTGTTGATCAGTAGAGGCAGGAGTTAAAATAGACTCGGAGGCCGCAGAGTCATCTAAGTTGAGATTTACCGGGTCAATGGGGTCAGCTGGGACAAAATTATTCATCTCTGTTACAACTGCTTCAGCTGTTTCATTAAATGCTTCAGTGTCTAATTGCATGTCTTCAATATTTGGGGCTAAAGTTAAATCATTAGGTGTCACAGAAACAGTTTTGCTTAGGTTGAATTGAATGACTTCATTTGCATTTCTTATCTGATCTTCCTCAACAAATACTGGTACAGAACTTGTCCCTTCTTCCGGAGATACATTTTCTCCTCTATCTCTGAAACTATAAAGTGATGCAACATTATCTTGCTGTATGTTAAATTCTGAACATTCCTGTCTCCTAATTGCATCTAGATTAGTTAAAACTGATACCACTTTCATGATGGTCAAAGATTCTTGGGTAAATCTAATCAAGCATTCTTGCAGAAACCTGCAGTCTCGCTCAGTGAATCTTTGCAAACCATCCAGGAGGTCCAGTATTTCTCGGCTTATGTGGAGAAAACTACCAATGGCAACAAGAGCCTTTGAGTTGTCGTGTTCAACAAAATCTGTAAAATTGACAGACTCTATTTCCCTCATCAGATGAATTATTCCAGATTCATTGGATGGATCTGTTGAGAGAGCAAGAAAGTCAAATACAGGGGAGTAACGTTGAATGCCAAATACAATATTGATGACATGAGCAGCATACCCATGTTGATGAGGGGGTATAAACTGTCGTAAAATGTTTATCCAATTTTCAGAGGCTTGAATATCACCTGTATTCAATGGTCCTGTTAGCTTCTGCAGGTCATGAATGACTTCACTAAATATACCCATATTTCTGGTCAGTTGTGATGCACCTTGAGTGAATTCAATCAAAGCAGTTCTGCAACCTGTTTGCCAAATATTTTTTAAAATTCCTCCCACTGCATTCAACACTTTTAGACCAGTTCCAAACTTCCACATCTTGTGACCAAGTCGTATGGCCATGGCGAGCTTTGGATGAAGGGGAGCAGCCAATACCATTACAGCTCCAAAAGTTTTTGCTGCAGCGCCAACCAGTTTTAAAGCACCAGTGCTGCGCTTCCATGTTAATATAAGACTGGCTTGTTGGAGGTAGTAGTCTGCCTTCTTTTTGAGTTTAGTCAGCGTTTCTGCTGATTGGACAGTGTTTTTAAGTATCTCTGCAGCACAGATGGTTTTTATAGCTATCCTCTCTATATGTCCCTCGGCTTCAAAAGTGGACATTGCCATGTAGCTGTGTTAAAAAGTAACCTTTAACTTTTACTGAAATTTTAAAAAAATGTTTGTTACTTTATTATTTTGGTTGACTTGCAGAATATATAAATTACATTTAAAAAAATAATTTCTTGACTTAAATTAGTATATCATAGTATATGCATACTACTTTTTTTTAAAAAATGGAATACACATTTAATGCCATACAGTTATAATAGCACTCTGTATGGTACTTTAGACAATGAACATATAAAAAAGACCATCTGTGCCATAAGTTTAAGTGTCTTTTAAAATAAATTTTAAACTTATCATATAATCAATTAACATTTGATAATTATGATAAATTAAAATTGTGTTCACCTTATACTGCTCAATAATAACCTGTTGCAAAATCATTTTTTTTTCAAAATGATTATTCAAAGGAGACTTTCAAATTTAGATCTGAAATAAAAATGAAAAATAATTTTAAAAACATAATTAAGGGACCTCCACAAATATTCAACAAAATTTGGGGTCGGGAGGGTCGGAAAGAATTTCATAATTTTTTATCAGGGGGAGGGGAGATCTTATGAAATATACCTATGAAAAAATTAAATTTTAAATGGCCTATAATTTTTAAAGGTCACAACAGCACCAATTCATTCTGAATAAGCCTAAGAAAGAAATGACACCTGCTGCTCAATGGATGCAGCCTATTCCAGTAACTGGCAAAAATATTGGTAGAGAGCTGATGGAAATTATTGCACAGAGAGAAAATGCTGATATGTTAAGCACTGTATGGTTAGATGAGAATGAGTCCCACAAAGAATATGTCAGTGATAAAACGGCATTTAAATACATATTTATAATTTGTTTGTATCTTTGGTTGATACAATTTTATTTTTATTTGTTAAAGGTGTGTGTAAAAAAAAAAGGATGGGGGGGGGGGGTGATAATTTATTTGATGGGAAGAGGAGTAATTGAAAGTTGGACAGTTGTTGTTAAGGGTTGGGAGGAGGTCTAAAAATTGTTGAAATAATTTATGGAACTAAAACAAAATTCATTTTAAAATTTTCTATAAAAAACAGTGTTTCTCTTTTAAAATTCTGTTTCATAATTTTGAAAAAAACATTTTTAATAAATTCATTTATTTCTAGTTTTAATTATGGCACAGCATAGCCCCTAAATTGGAGTGTAGGACTAAAACATAGACTTAACTTTAAATTTAAATCCAAATAATCTTTTATAAAGACCCACACACCTTCTGAATTATAAGACACTTGCTATAGTTTATTTTTAGCTTGTCCCGCCCCCAAACCACCTATCAAAAATAGTCGACATAATGGAAGCAACACCCAGAGCCAAATATAATGAAAATGTCTAATAATAGTGAATAGTGGTCGAACTAATACAATAATTAAGTAGTATTAGTAGAAGTAATAGTATATTATTAACAATATGCCTGAAAAGTATCCAGTAAGTAAAATAGTAATACTACTAATGCTATGTCTAAGACCCACGGGCCACACACACACGTTGGACAGGCTATTTCAAGTAATGGCCCTACTCATACTCAGTATAAAAAAGTAAAACACAAGGCAGTGGCGTAGCTAGGAATACTAGGATTGTTGCCACCCAAGGTGGGACAAACTTTTTGATGTCTCCTTCCACACAAAAAACAGTACCCTCTGGTCAAAAATGCAGCCCCTCACCTCAGTATAAATAAAAAGTGCTGTCCGAGGCAGACTACTCTGTACAAACCCCATTCCTATGCCTGTAGACCTAAGTAAAAGCAAATAGTAATATATTATTATGGCATCTGTCCGTCTATGTGAGACGATGGAGTAGCTATATAGTTCTACAGTAATATAGGCTTATCAATAATTGGCTAACATACAAAAGGGAGAGAATCCTACACGCCTACACTCTACACAAAAACTAAAAGTTGCGCAAAATGCATAATTGACCAAAATTTGCATGGATCTCATTTTCATTTATAATTTGTGTACGGCCCCTTTACTCTTGGATACCACTAAAAAGCTAAGGGCTATTTTTTTATTTTATTCTGTTTTTTCTGTTTTGTTCGCTGATGAAAGCTTTCTGCCGACCCGTTTGCTGTTTTGTTGCGTCCCTTTTTCAGGTTTAACCTTACTTTGTTTTACTAATTTCATATTGTGCTAACCTGATTGCAGTCTCTCCCCTTAATACCCTTTACTTTTAGGCTGCGGCTATTCGGACTCGGTATCAGAAGTGAGAGGCTGGGTTTATTAAAAATATTATTGTAGGGTTTTTACGACAAAATTTAGTATCAAATGAAAGATAATTGAATTGACTATATGTTTATAAACTTAATTTTTCAGTTTAATGAAAATAAACTATCACAAATGACATCCGAATAGCATTCATTTAGTCTAACAAAGTGGCTATTCGATAACTTAGAGGTTGGGATTAAAATTTTTTTTAAATGTATTATTGTTAGGTTGTAAGTAGACAAAATTTGGTATCAAATCAAAGATAATTGAATGGACTATTTGTTTGTAAACTTAATTCTTCAGTTAAACTAAAATAAACTACCACAAATGACATCCGAATAGCATTGAGTCTTAAGGGACCTGGGTCCGAATAGCGGCGATGCGTTTCCGGTTCCATTTTGAGGTTATACGATAAAGCCAGTTCAAAGATGGCGGAACACAAACAAATTTATAATTGGCCAACCAATATAATTCTAAAATTATAATTAAATCAAAACCAATAAAAATTTAATGAAAACATGTCATCATCATAATAATGAAAACGTAACTCTAATTTAAAAAAAAAAGGGGAGTGATCTTAACAAAACACGCAAAAGACGTCAGGGGCCGATCTCTCCAAATTAGCCCATACTCTCACTTCTCAGACCCGGGTCCAAATAGCCGCAGCCTTAGTTAGATACTTCGATGAAAGAAGGGAGACTACTATTTTTTTTGTATCGGAAATGTCATCATCATAATAATGAAAACGTAACTCTAATTTAAAAAAATAAGGGGAGTGATCTTAACAAAACACGCAAAAGACGTCAGGGGCCGATCTCTCCAAATTAGCCCATACTCTCACTTCTCAGACCCGGGTCGAAATAGCCGCAGCCTTAGTTAGATACTTCGATGAAAGAAGGGAGACTACTATTTTTTTTGTATCGGAAATGGGCGTCGGCGCCGAAAAATCCGAGTTTTTAATTTTCCGTTGTGTGTGTCTTTTTATTATTAAATTAGTTCTTTCCACATATATTTGAGTTCCGTTTCCGGCCTTATAATTTGGAAGACATCTTGGCCTACATTTCTAGCCAGCTATTTTGCTTTTTTCAATCGACATTTATTTTGAAAATCTTTGGTATATATAAGGCATCTTCGCATACAAAATTTTTTGTGAAATAATAAGATAAGGTCCTTTTTTATTAAATCTGTATGAGCATTAGATATTGATCTATATCTGTGCCAAGTTTCATTGATGTAGGTCGTGTCTCACGTTTGTTACGCGTGTCACAGTGACCCATATCACCATAAGGTGGCTCAGCCTAATTTCGACATGGCGTGGGCCACGCCCCCTTTTTAATGGCGGAAGTTGCCGATACTTAGGAAATATTTAATTATTACCACTATATACATCAAAATATTTTATATTTTGTGTTTCAGAATGCATTTTGAAGACATTTAAACTGGAAATGTTTTAATTTGAGCTTTAAAAACCCTGCAGAGTCCATAATATAAATGATCAGAATTTTCCCTGTGCAACACGTTGTCATTGGCAACCATTCACAGCCACTTGCATAACGGCTACGTTGTAGTACTATCTCAGAGTTTCATTCATAAGAGTTTGCCGTGTGCAAAAGCTATTAAACCATTGGTCAGGGAAAGCTTTTATTTATTATTCATGTGCCAAAGTTGAAAGTTTAAAATAAGTCGACCCTAAACAGTATTTTAGTGATAAGGGAATGCATTGCCTTATATAAACTATATAGTCATTGCGCATGACGCGATCAGTAGAATGAGGTCACAGAATGTGGAGATGCAGTCTATGTTAAAAAATGACAAACCAAGTCGTACTTTAAAAATTCATAACTTTAAAACTACAACAGCTAAAAATATGATTTTGGTGTTATAATTATGTTTAAAATTAGCTCTATTCAACTGTGCCATTGGTTTATTTTTAAAAAATGTTTACATTTTTGACCAAAGTATCTACACTAGTCCAACTAAAGGGACCCAGATCCAAATAGCGGTGATGAGTGTCCAGATCCATTTTGCTATTCGGATGTCATTAGTTGTAGTTTATTTAGTTAAACTGAAAAAATAAGTTTACAAACATATGTCCATTCAATTATCTTTCATTCAATACCAAATTTTATCTTACAAACCCAACAATAATATTTTAAAATTTTAAACATTTTTTAATCCCAACCTCTCACTAGTCTCACTTCTGTTAGCTGGGTCCGAATATTCGTTACTCTTAATTCCTTAACTACAACTGGCTTTTAATGTTATGCCTTATGGTTATACTTATAGACCTTTAGTTATAGCCTAAGCATTTTCCGATGCCGATGAGAATGTATAATGTATTTGTATAAGTTGCCCATGCATATTCAATAAAGAAGTATATGTCATGAACACAGAAAAAAAAACTCTGTTACGACTAAAAAAACTTGTTTATCCCGGAAGTGATTTCTTTGTTTAAACTTCAAATAAAAGATCTGAAATTGGCCGTCTTCCTTTTTTTTTTTTAAACCAACTTTTATGCCCTATTTTTATCTGACCCTGACCTTTTTAACCTTTAACCTAAAATCTGAAACAGGTCTGTAGTCTGTATGTGCCTTGGATTTTATTGGAGGCCCTCGTTGGTACTTTCATTAAAAAAACTCTGTTACGACTAAAAAAACTTGTTTATCCCGGAAGTGATTTCTTTGTTTAAACTTCAAATAAAAGATCTGAAATTGGCCGTCTTCCTTTTTTTTTTTAAACCAACTTTTATGCCCTATTTTTATCTGACCCTGACCTTTTTAACCTTTAACCTAAAATCTGAAACAGGTCTGTAGTCTGTATGTGCCTTGGATTTTACTTGAGGCACTCGTTGGTACTTTCATTGTCAGTTTAGTTCAAGAAGCTTACCATTACCAAGTCTGCAACTGCAACATAAAAATGTTTCGAAGTGTGTCTGGGCGCTTATTGCAAGGTAATGCATTCAATTAATTAAAAAAGTTCATTTGTCACATGTCGATATGTCAACGTATACTTTATTATATTTATATACGTCATATATTTTGTCTTAGAATTAGTTCAGCCTGAACTTTTGTCATTACTTATTACTTTGTAACTTTTTAATTTACTCTGACAATAAATTATATAGGCCTAAGCTATGGCTATGGGTATGACTATACTATAACTACAGACTATACAGTAATAGTACAGTTACAGGCCTAAATTCCTAACTGACTAACTGCCTAACTCTAACTAAGCGGCCTAAATAATAAATAATAAATAATAATTAACAATTGCATATAATTAATATGATTATAATATAAATGCCTGAGATGGGACCCAACTAACTTACTAGTGATTGATATGTTAATATAGGCCTGGGGTCGGAAACTATGGCTCACAGCCAGATGTGGCTCTATTGATTGCTGCATCTGGCTCGCAGACTAATGTTCGATTATAAAAAAAGTCGCATTAATGGTAAGAAATACTCATTATTGATTAGCATCAGCATAACAATGTTATTAAAATGAATTCAGAGACATAATTATTGCATTTTTAGTGTTGAAATTACACTGAATGCACACATTTACTTGAATTTTTATTTTTAAACATAATGAATGTATGGCTCTCACAGAATTACTTTTCAAAATATGTGGTGTCCATGGCTCTCTCAGACAAAAAGGTTCCTCGACCCCTCATATAGGTCATAATAAATTACTTCAGTTTCAGACTTGGCCTAGGCCTGAGTGAGTAAAGACTAAAGACTGACACTGACTTTAATTGAATTTACTTTAAATTTTAAATTAAAATACCTACTTAAATAACCTACTTATAATGACACACACAAAATTTAATGTCGCTATTTGTATTTGATTAAAATTCTATCCACCCTTGCATTAGCTCTGTTTTAAATTATATTTATATAGCCCATATGTAAGAAAAAACGAAATTAAGGGCCCCTGGCTCAAAATAGAATATTTTAAAATAGGTGTAATAATTCAGAAACCTTTTCGGGCATAATCACAACAACTCAACAAAGTTTTATCGCACTCGAATGAATGGTATAGGAGCGCATACGCTTTGTATTTATAAACTCATGTAAGATAAAACGAATTTATGGCCCCAGCACAAAACAAAATATTTTTAAATGGTTGTAATAATCCAGAAACCTTTGCAAGCAAGTGCACAACATCTCACCAAAGTTTTAAAGTATTCGGATAAATGGTATAGGAGAGCATACGGAAATTTATTTTTTACAAAGCTCATATCAGAAAAAAAAAAATTTAGGGCCAACAGCCCAAAATGGAATATTTTAAAAGGTTTGTAATGACTCAGAAAAATGGATGGGCTTGTGGACAACAACTCACCAAAATTTATCGCAATCGCGTGAATGGTGTAGGAGCGCATACTGGACATAACATACATACAGAAATTCATTTTTATATATTTTATAGAAAATAAAATATAAAAGTAATTACTTTAATTAAAGGCTTTAATAAAGCCTAGAGTCTGGAGTCTGGTGGTGAAGGAGTTGAATGAACTATCTAGGCCCCCCCCCCCCGGATTGATTGGATAAAAATATTTTAGACAAAAATTAATTAAAGTAAAGAGAAAATAAAGAGAAAGAAACTAAGCTGATGTCCTGTCCGTTCGTTCACCATACAAATACGCTACAGTAAATTAAAACTACATTCAAACATTACTACAAAATTTTGCCTCCCCCTGGAAAGTTAATCGATTTTTTTTGCCACCCCCTAGAAAGTTTTCTGCGGGCGCCCATGTATATATATTATATATATAGATATATATATATATATATATATATATAGATAGATATATATATATATATATATATATAGATAGATAGCCAAGGTTTTTAAGTGCCTTCTTATGTGCATCCTTAAACAAGGCATTAAAATTGATAAATGCTTGTCAGCACAATTCAACTTTGAACACAAAAATCTATTTTGCCATTCTAATTTACTTACCTGCAAAGGCAGGAAGGCCTACATTTTAGAAAATTAACAATTGCTCATATGAAATTGGAAATTGTTTGTACCCACTTTGATTGCATCTAATGTGTAGTAGATAAATGGCTGTACTTAAACAAGTAATGTATTTGGAGTTCCAAATGATCCTGAAAGAAAACGACAAATTATGTCTGTTCCCCCCCCCCCCCCCCCCCCCCCCCCCCCCCCCCCCCCCCCCACCCACTCCCCAACACACACACATTCCCAGTGAATGCTTTTTACTGTTAAGCTGTGTTTGTGGTAGTGCACTCTTAGCTTCTAAAGTCAGTTCACATGAAAATTTAGAGCTTCGTGGGGATTTATTTTTGAAAATAAAATATCAAAATTTATTCAATATTTCTATGCCATTATCAAACACTTTATTGCTTAAAACTTCAATATGCAAAAATTAAGTTAATTAAGCCTTGCATATTGCAATGGGGGCAGTGCATTTCATTTTTTATAAAATTTTGATGTCAAGCCTATCTGAAGATTACCTGGTATGCTTCTACCAATGACATACAATTTGTAAAATGTTTACAAAGAAATTTATTGCAAACACACTCTTAAGAAATTTAAAGTGAACGTTGCCTAGAACTGATGGGACCTATCACTCCACTCACTTGCACTCCTCCCTCCCTTTTCTACCAATGACTTTTAGCTTTGCTTGCCAGCGCCATCTTATGTGAAGTTTATTGCCTTAATTAGTGGTGTGTATTTGTATAAGGAATTGTCTTGTGCACCATTTGTCTAAGCTCTGTGTTAAAGTGGGCCAGAGTACCAACCACATTTAGAAAAGTTGGACCAGCAGGTAGATAAAAAAATAAAATTATGCTTACTACATCACAAAATTTGTAGGATCAGCTGAATGAATTTCAAATCAACTGTCATTTTTGTTTATGTCATAAGATATTTAGTCTTGTGATAGTTAGCTGGAGGTCCACTAAGTCAACACAGAAATCTTCACAGAAATGTATAAACTCATGTTTCTCTGTCCAAATCCCATTTGTAGTTTAATAGTGGTTTTTTTTTTCATTTTAAATGGGATTCAGAATGATTGGAGTTCCATTTCTCTTATTCTTATTATAAAAAAATATTATAAAAAAGTTATAAAACAAAACAAAACCTAATTATTTTGTTTGTTTGTTAAGGGGTTTTGTGTTATTAATAACTTACGATATTTAAAAAGAAATAAAGCTGTAAATCTATAGATACTATAATACTTCTAAAAATACAAGTTTTTTTCTTTTTAAGGTGTGTGCAATCATCAGTGTAAAAGTGCTGCTGCATCAACATCCACAGTAAATGGACTTCCAGATATGCCACCCTGTGACTTTAAACCAGATAAACATCAGGTCTGATTTTTCACAATTACTATTTTCATAGATTTTTTTCCATTGTTAGCTTGCCCAATCACCTACTTTGCCTTTTGTTTTTGTTTTTCTGACAATGAGACTTGAATGCTAAGGGGTTGTCTATAATGGATGTCTACATAAAAAATGAATTTTTTCCCCACCCCTTGTCTGCATTTGGCTTATCCCCCATCCCCAAGAGAAGGTGTTTGCAAAATGCCAGGAAGTATAATGATTATAAGGATCAAAGAGTCAGTAGAGTTAAACTTCTAAATAAGTCTGATCAGGAAATGTTAATGTCTTTTGCATAGGTTTTTCATTCTTCAGGCATCATTGGCAGTATTGCAAACATGCTGTCAGACAATGATTAAAAATCAATATATAAAACCATATAAAAAACTTAAGACTTCAGTAGTTCTTTATAATGATAGATTTACACACAAAAAAATAAGTGAAGTGACTAATGAAATAATCAGTTCAAAAAAGTGACCAAATAACACCTTTGTACTTTTAACATATTGTATACATTGTTTTTTTACCTTAACCATTGATAACATAACATAACTTCAGCATTTTCAATATAACAATTTGAGCTTAAGATAACTTTCAATTACAGTATGACACTTTCGGCTTAAGTTAAAATAACTTTCGACATTTCGACATCTTCAGTATAACACTTTGGGCTAAAGATAACATAACTTCAACATTTTCAACAAAACACATTTGGCTTAAGATAACATCACTTCAATATTTTCAATTTGACACTTTGGGCTTATAACATAACTTTGGGCTTATAACATAGCTTTCAACATTTTCAATATAAAACTTTGGGGTTGAGATAACATAACTTCACCATTTTAAGTTTAACAATTTGGGCTTTTTTTCTCTGACTATGTGAATCCCTCTATCAATGTTACCAGAAATAATCTACATGTTTTAGTTTGTAAAATGCATTTTAAAAAAAATTATAGAATGAATATTTTATAAACATTTTCTAGGGACCTGACCTGAAAAGTGTTCTTGCGACCAGAAAGAGCAATTTAAATCCAGCACTTTTTACGTTCTACAAAGAACCTGTGTACATCCATCAAGGTCACATGCAGTATCTCTGGGATGTCAGTGGCAAACGTTATGTGGACTTGTTTGCTGGGATTGTCACAGTCAGTGTGGGGCACTGTCATCCGTTAGTATTAACATTTTTGTTGTATCTAAACTTAGCTACTGTTCATGTCATTTCTTAATTTTGAAAATTCCCACACCTTGTTTCAGGACATAATTGTCCATTTAAAAAATATTAAATCTTAAGTTATAGTAAAAGATCCATGACCTCACACTCTCCAGTCCATTACCTCACGCTATTCCAGTCCATGAACTCACACTATTTAATCCATGAGCTCACGCCATCAATTCTTGACCTCACACCATCCATGACCTCACACTGTTCAATCCATGATCTCACACTATTCAATCCATGACCTCACACTGTTCAATCACATAAGATTTGGTTATTTTTGTTGGGATCTAGTGTAAGAGGAATTAAAAATTTATATGTAAAAATAAATGGTAAAAAGGTTTTGACACTAAAAGAGCTGTTTAACTGCCACCCCCATAATCTATGATAACATGAGCCTTTGATAATCTTCTAACATATCATAGAATTAGTTCCATCAGACTTAGGAAATCCTATTCACATTTGTCAATGTTTTTCAACTGTATTTCTTTCCATTGGCTAAATGGTCATGTTACTTTACCCTTTCCAGTACAGTGGTGGCAGCAGCAGGGAAGCAAATGAAGAAACTCTGGCATACAACAAACATCTATTTACATCCCAAGATCCATGAGTATGCAGAACAACTGGCGGCCAAGCTCCCTGGCAATTTAAAGGTAGTTGAATGCTTTTTTTCTTAGGTTGCTCTGTCTGTTTGTTAGTTTGTGTGTGGTCATATCTTGCATCTCAATTTTGACCCACTTCCTGATCTACAATGGGGCTGAAACTTAGTACATTTACCCAACCCTGATGTTAATACAACCCTTTATGATCAGAAGGTCACCAGTGACCTCCACTGACGAGTGACCACTGCAAATCCCTGCATCTCAATTTTGGCCCACTTTGTGATCTCCAATTAAGCTAGAACTTAGTACACTTTGACTAAAAAGTACAAAATAAAACAATATTAAAAAATAGGTTTTTAAGTACATTCTTTTCTGAAAATGTACTAAAAATTATAAAATAAATGTCCCCCAAAACTTTAGAGATGTTACAGACTAAAAAAGCGTGGATCACCCAATGAAATAAAATGATGTGGCATGACTTGACATATACTATGCTGGACACATGTATACATTTGCATCGCTGCAAGTAAATGTAATGTGACATAATTGTTGAGATACAGATTATTTAATCATTAAAATAAGTATGAGTTCTCACAACCGCCTTGCATTACTGTTGTTTGCTGCCATTGATGATGGGGATCTTGACAAGTGGAATGAAATAGCAATACCGCTGCTGTTATATATTTTTTTTAAAATGTCAAGGTTGTTGAGTTTGCCATTTTTTGTTGTTGCCAGAGTTGAGTGACACACATTTCCAGACATTTTTCAGCTTTACCAAGAATTTTAAATACAATTACTACCTTTATTGGTTGGAAAAGTCCTTGCAAGATATTTTTAAAAGTTTGAAGTCATACACATATTTTTTAAAGATTCAAAATAAATAAACTGAGCTAAAATGTAATCATCATCTCATCAACTCAGTTGAATTTTTTCTAGACACAAAAAAAAATACTGCAAATAATGTGAGGCCTAAAATACTGTTATAATGCTAGGCCTAAAACAATGCCAGTACTCTGTTCTTGGATGAAATCATTTCATTCTAAGTAACAGCAGATCTTGATTGTGATAATTTTTAAAAATAAAAATAGCTGGCCAATTAATCTAGCATGAGATATTTGTATGTACAATTTGAGACAATTCACCACTGTGGTTTTGTGCACATGACAGAGCTGCTATTCATGTTAATGAATTCATTTCCTTAATTTTAAGTTAACATTAAAAAAAAAAAAAATCCTTTTAGGTTGTCTACCTTACAAATTCTGGTTCTGAGGCCAATGACCTGGCTGTGCTGATGGCCAGGATGTACACAGGAGTATTTGACTGTATTTCTCTCAGGTAGACTTTGTCCCCAACCTTGCTCTTGTTCAATACTTGGGTTCATTGGGACAATATTCAGGAGGGCAACTAAGTTAAACTGAATTTAGGTGGGCAGCGCTGTATAAGTCTTGAACATAATTTATTTTGAATGTAGAAAAGCAAATCATATAGTATAGATCAAGGTCTAATATTTAATTTGGCTAAAGGCTACATTTAAATATATTATTTAACTCCAATGTCTAACTGATTTGTTGTTAAAATTGTATAATAATTATTTATATTGTTACTTATTGCTACAGATTGCTCATATGAGTAGGTGCTATTTGGAAAGAAATTAAAGAAAACTATTCTGGGTCTATAATAATTTGAGTATAATTATTACATTTGAGTTGTTAAGGTGTTTGTGGATTTTATAGCATAAGTATTTAACTGAAGCTTGTGCTACAGAAACAGGTCATTAATGTTGTTACCAACAGAAGCTGCGGTACAATTCTTTTATTAAAATTTTTAATGAATGCAATTAAAAATGTAAGCACATTTTTAAAGTGATGATACTGATAATGATTATAACAGTTTTATAAAAAAAAAAAACACATGAATTTGCTCATTAGAAATGGATATCATGGTGCAAGCCCCTACTTGATGGGAGTTACTGCCCTTTCAACATGGCGTTATAACAGTCCCACCGGCTTTGGTTTTCAGAATGCCATGAACCCAGACCCCTACAGGGGTCCCTGGGGAGGGAAACACTGTAGGGACTCACCTGCCCAGGTATAATATATCTTCAATGCTTTAGATTGTTTTGATCGTGAAATGCTAAGTTAGTGTTACTATATGATAGATAGCGAGATAAATCATCAATGCTGAGAATAGATTGATGAAAACAATTTGCTGTGTTATTCACCAAATAAATAGCATCATATTCTTGACTCGTGCTATGTCATCAATCTGAAAATGACCAAAGAAATACGTGCAGAGACATCAAAGGAGTTGTAGAAATCACATAAAACATTCAGTTTTCAATAATCCTATCACTTTCTGATCCAAGCTTTCATGGAAAGTAGATGATTAATTATTCTTCTGTTTTGAACAGCCTCAGCGCCCATGTGACTGTGCTAAAGGTCAGTGCGTAGCATGTGATAATTATGTGGACCAAGTGGAGGATGTCCTCAGATATTCAATGCCCAAAGGCCGGGTCGGCGCCTTCATTGCAGAAGCTATTCAGGTTAGATTGGTTACAAAAATCTGTGAAGTTGCCTTAAAAGTGAAAAAACACACACGTGAAGCTTTGCCAAACTTTGTTTCAAATAATTGTTAATTGAGTGAAAAGAAACAATCATCAACCAAATGAAAAAAGAGGAATGTGATGAAATTAAAACATTACAATCACTTTTAAATAAATTTATTTCTTGTTAAGTAATTGGTGTGAAAGGTAATAATTTGCATCTGGTGAAATCAAATATCTATTTTTAATCTTTAAACACAGTGGTAGATATTTAATATTTTTTCCTTGAACCTTTCAAGTTAGATGAGGATGCAATATTATGTTCTAATTTCATCACATTTCTCTATTTAATGTGCTTGATGCTTGTCAGTACTTTCTTGAATCAAGAGGTATTTGTGACATGCAATCATTCATATTATATAATTTTTTGTTGAACTTCATATGAATATTTCTAGAAAATAACTAACCCATATCAAAAGTCATTATAAAAACTGCATTGGAATAAAGATAAAAAGAAGCCTTGTTTTGAAATAGCGTCATACACATCCTCATTTGAATAGAATAATGCATGAATGATTCTTCATAGTGTAAACAAAACATCTATACAATTTTCATTCACCTAGGATCTTGTATTAATTTGACATTTTTTGGTATTTAAAAGTTCCTAAATTCTCTTCAAATGACAGATGATTTTAATTAAATAAAGTCAAATTTCTTCATTTAATTTTGTTTTCAGCTTTTAGATTTTGTTCCTTCGACCTGATAAAAATGATTATTGACAAATTGGAACTGACTTGTCCCTCTTAATTTAATGCATGATTTGATTTTAAACTTTTAAATCATCATTTTGTCACAGGGTGTTGGTGGATCAGTTCAACTGCCCGATGGTTATCTGAAAAAAGTTTATGAGAAAATCAGGGCTGCTGGAGGACTTTGTATCGCTGATGAGGTTCGTTGTACTCAGAAAATTTTCCTGTAAGCTGTTATTGAGATTAATATCTTTGATGCTCATTTGTTTTAGGGTCCTCAAAATTCCAAGAAATCACTGGTCTTGCTTTTCTTTATCTGTGTCATTTCCATGCTCAAAAAGATTAGTTCTAATATAGAAAATTAAGGGAAAAAATGTTTAGAACTCCAACCCCAAGTCCATGTTTAAATTCCAGCACAGCTTTAATGCTGATATAAAAATATGCTGCAGAATGAAATAACAGAGCCAAAAAGATTTGGTTCTGCCTCCCAGGCTTAAAGCTTATGGGAAAGTGTACCTTTAAAATAATAATAAATCACATGATTAGTGGTGTATTGAATATAGAGCATGAAAAATGTTTTAAAAATACTTTTTAAAATTTGAAGAGACTTAAGACAATGTCCATCAAATGAATTCAAAGAGGCCTGGCGCAGAGTAACAATGAATTAGCTTGATAAAATTCTGTTTAAAAAATCTTCTTCTTTCAGTAAATTGTATTTTTTTTAAACCCTTCATTCAGGTACAGACAGGCTTTGGCAGAATGGGATCCCATTACTGGGGATTTGAAACTCAAGGAGTAGTGCCAGATATTGGTAATAGAAATGTAAACTAGCTGTTGTTTTCACTGCTAATAATTCTAACAATATTGAATGGACTGCTGGCTGCTTGTTAGTTTCAAGAATATTCTCAGTTTTTTAAAATTCAGCCTGTCATTTTTGCCAGAAGTCAAACGCATAAGTGATTGTTTCTCCTCCTCAGTTACAATGGCCAAGGGTATCGGCAACGGATTTCCAATGGGGGCTGTTGTGACTACTCCTGAGATTGCGCAGACCATGGGGAAAGCTCTTCACTTCAATACATTTGGAGGCAACCCAGTGGCATCGGCTGTTGGGTTAGCTGTTCTTGAAGTGAGAATCCCATAGTTTTGTTTTTTGTTTTGGGGGGGGGGGGGGGGATTGTATACACCTTAGTTATACGCTCAGTTACAATAAAACAAAGATATCTTTTAGAATGCCCGACAGATGTAATGACATGGATGCTCCTCAATAGAAACATGTATTATTTCATCTGATTCATGTGCTAGAGTTGTTTTGTGAGGGGATTGTTAATAAATCCTTACTGGTCATTTCTTAACTGTAAATGTCTAGTTTTCATATCAGTTTGAAATTAGACAAAGCAGTATGCCTAGGAGGAAGTTGAACAAAATCTTTAGCTTTCTTGATGAATTACCAGGTATAAGCGACCTCTGTTTCTTGCCATTTAGTTCATATCTTGTTCATTCCATGCAATTTGTTCCATCTCAGAAAATTCCAGTTTTATAGTGCCTAGTTATACCAAGAAGGACATAGTGTTTGGTACACACATTGCTCTTCATTACAAACTCCACTTTAATTTCTTTTAATGTTATATTCTATTGGTCATATGCTCTAACCTTGTTAGCATCAAACCAGCCATATTTTTGGACAAATGTTGATATATCTCAGTGTTAACTTTGTTAGTTGGCAAAGGTTTCTTTAGTCTTGTTCTTCGATTGATGTTCAGTTTGAAATTTGCAGGTGATTGAAAAAGAGAAGACACAGGCCCTATGTGCTGCAGTTGGAACATATTTCATCAAAGAATTAGACAAGCTAAGATCTGAGTTTGAGGTGGTGGGGGATGTCAGAGGGAAAGGTTTGATGATTGGTCTGGAATTAGTCAAAGATAAGGTAATCCATAACAATATTTTAAAATGAGTACATCTTTCTTTTTTTTGTTTTTTGTATCTAAATCTTGTTGCATTTTACTTGAGTATCAAACCAGTGAAATGAAATGGGAATTTCCAATAAAGTTCATTAAAGTTGTCTTCATTTACATTTATAATTTTCCAAGAAACTGATGTCTTCTTCATTAACCTCAGAATTTTAAAAGAGTTATTTAACTTTATCTTATTGTAAAATTCTTGCTAACACTGGTCATAAAAATCAAAAGAAGAAGTCTCCTGAGAAAAAGTGTCTGGCCCTTGAATTATTGTTAGACTTGACATGTTGGGGACATGGCCAATAATTTCATGAGCTTGTTGGGGCCACAAAAGGAATGGTGCTGGTAGTTCTGTTTTGACCAAGCTTGTTTGGGCCACATTGATGGGATAGTGCTGGTAGTGCTGTCCTGAGGCAGCATGTCAGTCCCACGCCAGTCTGAAGTCATCAAGGCCCTACAAAATGCCTGACAATGAAAAGGTTGTTTACTCCAGAACCATTTCTGTAACTGATCCTCTCACCCATGTGTGAGATGTATGATTTTTTTAAACCTAAACTAAAATCAATGTTTCCTTGCTTCTAGGCAACACGAGCTCCTCTCCCAGCTGATGAGGTAGCCTCCATTTGGGAAGACACTAAGAACATGGGAGTTCTCATTGGTAAAGGTGGACTCTATGGCAACGTAAGTCTTTTTATCTCCTCATTCAGCCGTAGTAGTGTTGTTTTCTGGGTTTTTTAATACCAGTCACAATGTAAATAATTAACAGTTATTTATTAAATGTAAAGCTTTTTTAAATTTACAAAAATTATAGTTCATGGAAATAAGTGAGGTGTGAGAAATACCAACATAAGGAATTAAAAATAACCAGACCAAATCATTAAATGAATCAGTTACACCATTTTAAGCTACCTGTCCATTTAGTCTGAGCAATTCTTAAATTATTTGTTTTATAAATTTGCATAAGTTTTGTGAACTATATGAATTTGTTGGTACCATTAATAATGTTTTAAAATTTAAAAATAAAATGTATTCTAAAAATTTCCTCTAGTGTTTGCGAATCAAACCTCCCATGTGTATCACCAAAGAAGACGTTGACTACAGCATGGCTGTTATAAGAGTAGCTCTACAGAATCACGCCAGCAAGAAGTAGACTCGATCCATCAGGCGTTGGCTCATGTTGCACTGTTTTGTTGCACATGGAAAAAGATAAGCAAAGAAATTTCTAGACAAATTTGAAGGGTAACCTCATTAACTGGAAATAATTTCCTACCAACATATATCAAAATCAAAAAACGGTTTAAGTACACACATTTTTGAGGAGCTAGACATAGTAGATAAATGGACAAGCCTTTAAAAAAAACAACAACCTGTGTCAATCATTCCAGTTCCATGAATAATTTGTCTGATTCTTTTGTTAAGTAAACTGAAATAGAACTTTTTGGGGGAGAAAAATATGTTAATTGAGCAAAAAATTTAATCAACTCTTCTGTATAATTTTATAAGGCAAAATCAATGAAATGTGTACATCAAAGAACTCTGTGAGTGGGAGTGGTTGGACCATATGTATTACTATATATTCAAGACATTGTTTATTTACTGTGATCAAAAGTTGGAAGTTTGCCAAATTTTTTTGTGTCATAATAACTGCAATTATTTTTTTTCCTACTTACTGTGGCCATGTGACTTTTGTGTTTACAATATAAGATTATTTTACATTATTGATTTGATGATCATATGTAGAGTTTTTTCAACCCTGTTAATCCAAGGACACCTCAATTTATGGACTGTGCGGAGCAAACTCTAATGGAAAATAATTTAGTCCTATCTTACCTTGTACATACATTTTTACTCCATTTTATCAAAATCTTGCCATACACATGTGAACGCATCGCAACAGACCAGTGAAAAGTTGTATTCAGTTTGTCAGCCAACAGAACATTGAAGTATGAAAGCTTCTCCATCACAAAATAGGCAAAAAAAGTGCGTAATTTTTTAAAAGTTTTTTTAGATAGATAATAAAAAATTAAATATCCCTGTATTATTGAGCTAAAACAATTTATTGGTGTGTTATGTTTTTTTCCCATAAAAGTATTTGTATGTTTCTATCAAAGTCTCTTAAATACTTTAGATGATATAGTATTTTTTAAAATCTTTTTTTATTTTGTACATGATATATTAGTCTAAAGCTTTCCTATACAATGGTTCCTTTTAAATTTAATGCATGTGTACCTTGTTTTATGCATTGTTGGTTGTTAGTTAGTCAATCTCCCCTTGTGTTAAAATAAGAAATTTCAAATTTACTTGGCAAAAGATGATGTACTGGATCCATTGTAGGACACCCAAGATGGCAGTTCTGAAAATGTGTGTGGTTTCAGTAAATGACATGTTTGTTTCTGCTACATCAGGTATTAACATTAGTGCATGCCACTGAACAGGTTTTCATCAACTTATTTTCAAATAAGCCACATTTTGTTGTTTGCTGTGCTAGTCAACTTGCAATTGCTAAAGAGAAGTATTACAGAAAATGTTGCAACATCCCTTTTTGAAAAATGTTTTTTCAATGTGTGTAACATTCTTGCGGATTGATACTAAAAATCATGCCTTAATAATGATAATGTTTGGCTTAATAAGAATGTCCTGGGAAATGCCTCACCATTTTGTTATACGCCTCGCCATTTTGTTATAATGAAGTGGCAGTTCTCAATGCATTAAAACATCTTAAGAGTCTCTGTCAAGAAAAGCTTTTCACATTACAGTTTTTAATGTGTGCAGTTGGTCAAGTCACAATTTGCTGTGTTTACATGTTTAACAATTTCTAATTGAGGAGACTTAAAGAGAATCATCCCTTCAGGTTTCTGACAATATTTTTATTTTCATAGTTCTTCAAAGTGATTTTGTCTATTTCAGTATGGTATTTTGAGGGATTTCAGGTTGATGTTTTTTCTTTACTGCCACCAACTGCTTACTGTGCCTTAAATGAGTAGTCAGTCTCCACAATTATTGTTATTCAAACCTGCCTTTTTCAAATATATAAGAATATTATTTATTACGTTATCTTCGGAAAAGCATGTTTCTCCTTGTTGATACAAAAACAAACTCATTTACTCAACTATGATTATCACTATGGCTTAAATCTACAGATAATGCTGTACATTGCCAGTTACTTAAATAACTGTTTGTAGTTATTTTTACATCAGTGATTTTTTTCTTTATAATATGTATATAATTTATGAGGACCGGTGTCAAAGAAAGCTCACAGTATTCACTAGTAAATATATTTTCATCATTTTAAAAAAAATTAGCTTCATGTAATTTCAAGCCAATTGTTTACTTGTTAAGTTCATCTACTTAACTTGCAATATTGAAACATACACACCACACTTGACCACCTAACAGATGTCACTTGTATTGTTTCATGAGTTAACTATTGTTACATTCAGCGCCAGGCCAAATATTGTTCATATGTTTTGTGTCTTATAATTCTAAATCATCAAGACTTCCTATGTTGAATTTAACCAGTGTAAAGCTGTTTTTACCGTAATAATTCTTCAATATTTCAAATTCACTCATACCTGAATCTCTTTTTTTTGTCAATCTTATGAAAAAATATGATATGACCGATTTGGGATCAGTCATTTCTATTGTTTGCTTCACCCAAGAAAAGCACTTTGCAAAGTTATAAAATGAATTATTATGCAAAGTTATCGTTTAAAATTGAATGAGTGATTGACGTGCATGATGAATCTCCCACCCACTGAATGTTGTTTTGACTGTGAAGGACTTGAAATGTAAAAGCTTTCATTGATATTATTATATACATAGTTTGTTTTATTATTACTTCCCTGTCTGCTTGTGCTCTTGGTAGATTAAAGATAGTGATGGCTTGAATTTTAATGACAGTTTTTTTTTTAAATTTTGACAGGGACAAAGAGCATTAAACATTCTACTTTAAAAACTATGTTCCAAATTTTGGCTAACAGCTACAAGGGGACATGACTACTTAGTGTTAAGGGGACATTACTTAGTGTCTCATAAATAGTGGGGTCTGCTATAATATATCTCAAATTATTTGTTTGTGGAAAAAAATGAAGTGATCGGTATAATAACTAATGATGGGAATGGCTCTATGAAGACTTTGATTTAATGTGAGTTTTTGTTTTCTTTAAAAAAAAAAAAAGATGACATCAAATTAATTGTGTCATTTTCTTCATTGTAAATATAAATGAAATAATTATTTTTTTCAAAACTAGATCAATAATAACTAATGATGGGAATGGCTCTATGAAGACTTTGATTTAATGTGAGTTTTTGTTTTCTTTAAAAAAAAAAAAAAAAGATGACATCAAATTAATTGTGTCATTTTCTTCATTGTAAATATAAATGAAATAATTATTTTTTTCAAAACTAGATCTAATTTTAAATTCCAATGAAGGTATTCAAACAGATCTTTAAAAAATTAGCAAACCTCTCTGATGGAGAGTTCCAATATTCAGAAAAGGGCAACAACCTGTACCCAGGTTAGGGATCACAGATTCATCCATTCATTAACTTGTGTATACATATTTTGTAGTGACTATGACAATGGCTTCTGTAATTAAATTTAAAGCATAACTCATCTAGTCCTTACCAGCTATCACACATTTATCAAAATTCCTTTATAAAAAAAAAATGATTATAGTATTGGATTTATAGTAAGCTATTGTATTGTAAGGTTATATCACATTCATCATAGCTATGCTATCTTGATTGTTTCAACATTTATTAAGTTATTTAGAAATTAAGTTACTGTTTTGTAACATATGTGAGATTCGTAGTAAAAAAAATCATAGCTATGCTATCTTTATGGTTTCAACATTTATTAAGTTATTTAGTAAGTTACTGTATTGTAAGATCATATGAGATTCATAGTAAAAAAATCATAGCTATGCTATCTTGATGGTTTCAACATTTATTAAGTTATTTAGTAAGTTACTGTATTGTAAGATCAAATGAGATTCATAGTAAAAAAATCATAGCTATGCTATCTTGATGGTTTAACACTTCTTAAGTCATTTAGTATTGTATTATGAGGTTATATTACATTCATAGCTATGCTATCTTGATGGTTGCAACACTTCTTAAGTCATTTAGTATTGTATTATGAGGTTATATTACATTCATAGCAATGCTATCTTGATGGTTCAACATTTATTAAGTCATTTACAACATAAATGTGATGCTTGCTGTTTTTATTGGACTAGCTTGGCATTCATATTATATATTATATAAAACTCAACTTTCTTCATCATAGTTTTGGGGTGTTATGCTTAACTTTTAATATGTTAATCAACTTAATGCAATAAATAAAATAACTATCCTTAACCCCTGTCTGGTATATTTTGTTAATGGCCTGTGATGTACGTGACTCTAATCTATACCTCATTGAAGAACCCAACACTGTTGATTCAGTGATACAGACATTACAGTAGACAGGCTACATTATTGATACTAAACAGACGCACCAGACATAGTGCAATAGACATGTTACAACAGACATAATACAATAGAAATGCTAGAAGATACATACTTCTACAACAGATATTAAAACAGACTCATTACAACAGACATTAGGAAAGACATACTACAACAGACATACTACAACATGTGATACAGCAGTGATGCAATATGGAACAGATACGATACATCACACATGCTGGAACAGATGTGCTACATCAGGCATGCTGGAACAGATGTGCTAGATCAGGCATGCTGGAACAGATGTGCTAGATCAGGCACGCAACAACATACTTATTTCAACAGACATACTACAACAGTCATACTTTACCAAAAGCAATATAACATACACACTATATCAGACACAATAAAATAGGCTGTGCATAAATAGCAGACACAAAAGATACTTTGCTATTGACATATTTCAAAGGACATGCGGCATTGTACATATCATCCATTGGTCACTATCAGGCAATATAGTTGTGTATCTCATCCATTGGTCACTGACAGGACATATAGTTGTGTATCTCATCCATTGGTCACTGACAGGACATATAGTTGTGTATCTCATCCATTGGTCACTGACAGGACATATAGTTGTGTATCTCATCCATTGGTCACTGACAGGACATATAGTTTTTGCATCCAGTTACATTTGTACTTTTCGGTTTTATTTAATTGCTGGGACCCTAAGTATTTTTTGTAGAAACGTTCATTTTTTTTGTGAACATTTTCATTGGTTTCTTTTTAGCCCAATCTTTCCATCCATCCTTGTGGCACTAAAGCCCTTGTTGGGCTTTGGCCTGCCTCACCACTTCCTTCCACTCAGACCTAACTGAAACTGACTAATGCTTTCCATTTCCCATGCTTTGATTCCCAACTGCTGTAGATCTTTTTCCACGTCATCCATCCATCTAAGCCCAGGTCTGCCTTGAGCCGTTTTCCTCTGGAGGTTTTGGAGATGTACCCTCTTCACTCCTATGTCATTTTACATTCTTTTTTTTTAAGTGTCCCGCCCAGCGTAGCCTGTCCCATTCTATTTCTGCTACTGCTGCTGGCCTGGGATGCTGATATAGACTATACAATTCCTAGTTGTTTCTATTCTCCATCCATACTCATCCTTTGTTGGTTCTAAAGTTTTCCAGAGAACTTTTCTCTCACATGTGTATAATAGCCCAATCTTTCATTAGTATTAATACATTTCTGCTGTTCAGACTGACTTCGATTCATAATAATTTAATCATAAAAATAATAATTTAAAAAAAAACAAAACAAAACACGGCAATATTTTATTTTAAAAATGCTGTATAAATTTGATTATTTTCTTGTACAAAAAGCCAAATGGATCCTTATAAGTCATAAATCCTATAAATCATAAATCCTGAATAAGAATCAATCAAGGTACATCTTGCCCTCCGACAGATAAATGAATCTCAGTACACTATAACCGACGTCAGTGGCCTCTTCTCCTCGTTGACAGAGTAGGAGAGCATGCTGGGACCTGCACCCTGTGGGGCGAATGTACGAGAGAGGGTGGTCAAATGAACAGCTATAAATAGGCCTACTTGACATTGTTGAGCTATATATTCAGTAAAAGTTTTGATACACGACTCGTGCTGGCAAAGTACGTTTGAAATCGGAAAAAGGGGGGGGGGGGAACCAATTTACCAGATTCCATTTTTTTATAAGCAGGGACAGTGTTGCATAAACATTGACAGACAGTTACTGTATTACTAGCCGTCTGGGCGGACGGTATAAGGAAAAGAGGGGGGGTGTGTAGGGTGCGCTCTTCTTAAACCCCCAGATAACATCAACAGACAATCCCTAGCATGGAATCCACGGGGAAAAAGAAAGAGAGGAAGACCTAAGAATACATGGAGTCACAAGCTAGAGGCAACCACACAAAATATGGGATACACCTGGAAGCAACTGGAAAGGAAAGCACAGGGCCGAGATGAAAAGGACAATTCTTGTAGACGGTCTATGTCCCGTCCCAGAAGGGGTAAAAGACATAATTTAGTGGACGGACAACCATGTCTTTGAACAAAGACAAAACATGCACTGTGCACCAATGTAAAGGAGAACCGAACACTCACACACAAATCAAACGCAAAAAACCCAAAACATTTGGCTTACCCATCCGGTCCTTGTCCTCCGTTTCAGCATCATGACAACGGCAGCCGCCGTCAAGGCAACGACCACACACGACCCCACAACAATGGCCACGATCGTGCCTGTGGACATCAGGCAGCCTTCCTCCTCGTCGCTGTTGTCACCGCAGTCGTCATAACCATCGCAGGCCATGGTGTCGTCCACACAACGGCCGTTGTCACAGCTGAACTCCTTGTCAGTGTCACAAACATCTGGGGGGGGGGGGGTCAACGATATAGTGAAATGTTCATTTACAAATACTATACTACCTCTAGCTCTGGGGGTTTTAAAGAGTTAACCTGAAGTCCACGGACTAATGTTCCCTTTAAGCTGCGTGGCTGCGCGGCCGCGCAGCTATCTCACAGACGCCGCGCAGCTGTTTTAAGTATCCGCGCAGCAAATTTCCATATAAGTGTGTGTTTGTGGGCTGTTAAATTTTGCACACAAAAGAAATTGATGCTGTAAAACTTTGCATACAACTGTATGATTTTGTACACGAACCAGCAAACCTTAGAGGGAACATTGCCAGTGACCCCTTGAGATTCGTGAAATGGTGTCAGGGGATCTCTGAGCTGTATTCCCTTTATAATGTTATATGATTATATACGGATAAATAGTTTATTCTAAAAAGGAACCCGGGGCATTTCGTGTAAATGTTAAAGAGTCGGTGGCATTCATCTGACTGGCTAAAGTGTAAGTGGCCGTCACCGGACTGGCTATGTTGCCCATGGCCCATGGACTAAAAAGGCTAAGCAACCGTGCTTTAGCTTATGGAAGGCTATTCATGTAACATAAGTCCCGTCTCGTGTCTGTCTGGAACTAACGATAAGAGAGACAACATTTGTATCAGCGTTGCGTGTTCAGACTATGCAACTGTGTCCCCTTTCAAAACCTCAAAACATTAATGACAGAGTTTGGTGTTATTAGTTCATAAGGAATGGTGAGTGTTGATCACCGTAGCTGAAATCTGAAATATTGGTGTTCGTAAGGAATGGTGAGTGTTGATCACCGTAGCTGAAATCTGAAATATTGGTGTTCGTAAGGAATGGTGCGTGTTGATCACCGTAGCTGAAATCTGAAATATTGGTGTTCGTAAGGAATGGTGCGTGTTGATCACCGTAGCTGAAATCTGAAATATTGGTGTTCGTAAGGAATGGTGCGTGTTGATCACCGTAGCTGAAATCTGAAATATTGGTGTTCGTAAGGAATGGTGCGTGTTGATCACCGTAGCTGAAATCTGAAATATTGGTGTTCGTAAGGAATGGTGCGTGTTGATCACCGTAGCTGAAATCTGAAATATTGGTGTTCGTAAGGAATGGTGCGTGTTGATCACCGTAGCTGAAATCTGAAATATTGGTGTTCGTAAGGAATGGTGCGTGTTGATCACCGTAGCTGAAATCTGAAATATTGGTGTTCGTAAGGAATGGTGCGTGTTGATCACCGTAGCTGAAATCTGAAATATTGGTGTTCGTAAGGAATGGTGCGTGTTGATCACCGTAGCTGAAATCTGAAATATTGGTGTTCGTAAGGAATGGTGCGTGTTGATCACCGTAGCTGAAATCTGAAATATTGGTGTTCGTAAGGAATGGTGCGTGTTGATCACCGTAGCTGAAATCTGAAATATTGGTGTTCGTAAGGAATGGTGCGTGTTGATCACCGTAGCTGAAATCTGAAATATTGGTGTTCGTAAGGAATGGTGCGTGTTGATCACCGTAGCTGAAATCTGAAATATTGGTGTTCGTAAGGAATGGTGCGTGTTGATCACCGTAGCTGAAATCTGAAATATTGGTGTTCGTAAGGAATGGTGCGTGTTGATCACCGTAGCTGAAATCTGAAATATTGGTGTTCGTAAGGAATGGTGCGTGTTGATCACCGTAGCTGAAATCTGAAATATTGGTGTTCGTAAGGAATGGTGCGTGTTGATCACCGTAGCTGAAATCTGAAATATTGGTGTTCGTAAGGAATGGTGCGTGTTGATCACCGTAGCTGAAATCTGAAATATTGGTGTTCGTAAGGAATGGTGCGTGTTGATCACCGTAGCTGAAATCTGAAATATTGGTGTTCGTAAGGAATGGTGCGTGTTGATCACCGTAGCTGAAATCTGAAATATTGGTGTTCGTAAGGAATGGTGCGTGTTGATCACCGTAGCTGAAATCTGAAATATTGAATTTACTTTATGAAAACGGACATCATTTTTTTTTCTTTTTTAAGAATAGTGGACTAAGGATAATTATAAATGGCAAAAAATCCCACTTTATGTTGAGCCCCCATCCCACCCGCGACAAATCCTAAAGCTACGTGTTTTACTTGAACATTTCTCTGAGATTGGCGTGCGCATGAGGCTGGTAATGAGACAGGTCCATCTAGAGGTTACACCATGAGTTTGTGAGCTTTGTTTCTCTCTGCTTCGGGTTCTATGACTGACCACCCCCACACCCCCCCCCCATTCACTATACTAACCCGTACTGAAGGCGCTGACCAACACACGAATTTTCCCGTTTATGGTGGCGTTGGATGACGTCAGTCTCAAGTAAACCGCGTCTTTGGTGGAGTCAAAAGAATGGCTGTACTCACCGCAGATACCACCTGGACCTGAAAATCAATGTGATGCTATGCGTCATTGCAAATTAAGTTTTCAATGGTAAAGTAATGTCACAAGTCCGTGGAATCCAGTAGAAAGGTGATGATCAAGATAAATGTATGGAAGCCAAATAAACATAACTAGTGAACTATTGCACCTGAATTAATGCACCTGTTCATTACCTAAAGCGTGGAGTCACCATCTACCACTCTCGCGCATACCCCTTTCAATATGAGATGACCATGTTAGCAATTCAAGTTTTTAAAGTTTAGATTTTCGTCATAAAAATATTCCTAAAAAATTCATTTTCTTAGGTAACAAGAAGATTAAAACCAAACAAAAAATATAGGTCACACCAAAGATAATCTGCGCAGTTAATTTCCTATACTATTATAGTTTGATTTTTTAAATTAAAAAAATTGTCGAGAGAATTAAACATTAAAATAATTATTTTTTTAAATGTAAGAATTAGAAAAGATTTTAATTAATTAAACAGAAATAATCAAAATCAACAATTATGGAAACAGTGATCTTCAAACTTTGTCATGAAGGGCCCGCAGAAATGAATCCCCATTGTAGCAGTGGCAAGGGTGCATTTATGTTCTTTTTTTTTATAATCATAAAATTAAATTGTTCCGATGACTTGTTTGCGGGTCGGTGACTTGGGACTAATAAATCATTCGTAGCACTGGACTGTAGCAGATGGGCGCAAGCCGGCGTCGGATGAGCCGTTTTCAGTAGTCTTGCGGTTTTAGTTTGAAAAATATATTGGTGTACAGAAAATCTAAACATTTCTTTGAATTGGTGTGTTAATTTAAAAAAAAAAAAATGTAATAATATTTCAGCACCGAGAACAAAAAAAAAACAACACAATTATTAAAATAAAACATCTTTTTTTCAATCGCACCACTGAGAAGTGTTATTTTGTCACTGTCTATGACGTCAAGACGGTTGCGATCACATGGTGGTTTAGTTCCGGGTAACGACACATGCAGTACTGATACATGGATCTGAGGATGAACAAGGGTTGGATTTAAAAAAAATATATTATGGCTCAGACTAGCTAACTAAAATATACATAAAGTACAGCGGCATGCACAGTAGGAACACTCTATGCGGTTACCCCCAGGCATTACACGAGATGATCTTCCTAGACGTTCTACTGGTCAGATACAGAAAACACATACCCTTTGGGGACACAACTTACATAAGACACCTTCTCTCGAACGTACAAAAAACAGAAAACACCTACCCTTTGGGGACACAACTTACATAAGACACCTTCTCTAGAACATTCAAAAAACAGAAAACACCTACCCTTTGGGGACACAACTTACGTAAGACACCTTCTCTCGAACATACAACAAACAGAAAACACCTACCCTATGGGGACACAACTTACATAAGACACCTTCTCTCGAAAATATAACAAACAGAAAACACCTATACCCTTTGAAGATACAACAATCTGTGGACACCTACTGTGACAGCCTATGTGTTGACCTAGTTCAAGCCAAGGCATGCAACCCCACCCCAACTCTTTCTCTCTCTCTTTTTTTTCGGACGTCACCAGTTTACTTGGGGACAGGTGCTGCCAATCCTATCCACCCCTAGCCATAGATTTGGAAAGTTTATTTATATTTCAAGAAAGGTTCACCCTTATACCAAATTGAGGGAGACAAACTCTCTTTTTATTTAATTTCTAGACTTTATGTTCTGGAGGGTTCCGACTCCCTTACTATAAATAGGACGGTCGACTGTGACCGCAGGCATTTACGAGACTTACCAGACCGTACAGGAGCCCTACAAGATTTAATAGATTTTTCACTGCGCGTGTGTGGATTAATATTTAATCTTTCTAATACGGTATTATACTTTTTCACTTGCCGAGCCATTTATTATTATAGTTTTTATTTCTGTTTATTTGATTACATATTTTTATATCAATTTAATAGTATAAATAATTGATTATTGTACATATCACTAGCTATGGTACAGTTTTTCATTGTATACTGATTTTCAGTCCTTTGTTACGTATTGCAAATCCAACGAGCCAAATTTTAAAGCTACAGATCGAATTTGTTGAACCTTATAACGGTAACTAACACCTACCTTTGGAGATACAACAACCAGAAACCACATAACCTTGGATGGTGGACACTATAAACAGAAAACGCCTACCCTTGGGGATAAAACAACCAGAAAGCACATAACCTTGGATTGTGGATACTATGAACCAGGCCTGCACAACTCAAAATGTATGGCGGGCCCTAATACTTTATGGAAACCTTGTGCCGACCGTAACACCTTATAATGAAAAACTTTTGCGGGCCGAAAGATAAAAGAACGGGGGCAAAGATATTAATAAAGGCATAATAATAAAGAATATTTCGTTATTTCGCGGACCACCAAGAGGGTGCTCGCGGGCCATATGCGGCCCGCGGGCCTTATGTTGTGCAGGCCTGCTATGAACAGAAAACGCCTACCCTTGGAGATACAACAAACAGAAAAAAAACAACTTACCTTTGGGTGGCAAAACAGTCAGCTCTACATACCCTTGAAGGATTCTCTCTGTTGTGGTACGCTGAAAAGGCAAGGAACCCGAGTGTACAGTTACTCCCGTCGGTTGGTACGAGTGACCAATTCTTGACGACTACAATGTCCGAGTTGTAGAGGAATCTGACAGCATTACATTCGCGGTCAAGCACAACTGATGGTTACCGTGGGGATAATGAAAAAGAAATACATTATTGTTCCAGGGAGTGCTCCATGGTTTTGATCAGTTCTATCTAAAAAAAATAGAAGGTTGCTCGTCGAAAAAGATTGAATGAAATGTATACAATAACAACCATAAAGAATGCATTAGTTGAATGGCTCAATACTATGTCACAAATATATATATAAATATATATATATATTGAATGGATAACGATATTTCCTGTTCGCTATATGTTGAGTGATATGTTCGTTCAGTATAATAATAATATGAACAAAATTAATACGAGGCAAAGAATCCTGAAACGAGGCCAGTGCCGGCCGTAAAAAAACAAACTTTTGGGCTACATCGTTTTTTTAACGGTGCCCAAAACTCAAAAATTCGTTTCTGGTTAAATCATTAATTTGGATTATCTGAAACTTCATCGTGCAGTTACCTCTTTGGTGATCGAGATCGTAGATGTCGTTCTTGGCGGGAAATAGTAGGCTATTAAACACCAAGTTCTTATTTCAATGACTTATCCAATGTAGTTGATTTAGCAAATAAATACTTTATCTGCTCTGTAATTATGGAGCATACATTTTGTTCAACTGAATTTTAAAAAACAAAAACCCCAAAAAAAACCCAAAAAACAAACGTTTCGCTAATATATCAATCGCGTATAAAATATCTCACAACGTCACTATAAATGATCTAATGAATTTGAGATCGAGGATATTTTTTGTTTGCGAATTCGTTTAGCTTCTGCACGTGACTGAGTTCCCTTGGGTGGGTGGGGGTGGGGGCTGGGTGGGGGTCCAGTTATTGAAACGTCGTCGGGAATTGAGGTGGGTGCCGGGTAAATTTCAAATGTTTGATATCGTATAATTTCACCCTACTTTTCCACAATGTAGCCCATAAACATTAAACAGTTGAAACTGTGACCTCTCTTTATATTCCAAACAAATTTCAGCAGTTTGCGGCATCGTCAAAAACCCAAGTCAATTAATGCACTTTGCGTTGAACAAATAATGCTCTCCGCTATAACTCTTGCTTGTACCCAGCATGTATTTCGCGAATGTTCGCTCCATTCTCCATCCTAGTTCCCTCATACCATCCATCCATCCCTGTGGCGCTACAGCCCATGTAGGGCTTTGGCCTGCCTCACCACTTCCACATACCATCCATCCATCCCTGTGGCGCTACAGCCCATGTAGAGCTTTGGCCTGCCTCAGCAATTCCTCATACCATTGAGACAAAATCTTATTATTCGAAACTGATACAAATATGGGGATAGATTTTCCCATTATTCTTTTAATTATTCATATTTTTTTCCCCTCTGGGCACATCCCCAATTTTTCATTACCGAGTCGTTCCTTAATCATGTTTGTTTCTTATCTCGATTCTCTTGTTTCTTTAGTATAGTAAGAAAAGCATAAACTGTCTTCTAAAATAAACCCTAAAATTATTAGAGGAAAAAAAAATTGGTTGTAAGCTTTAATTGTGATGAATTTAAATCTGGATCGGAATTGCTTTACTGCAGGTTGTCTTTAAAAGTGTAAATTAATCACATTGCAGTAACGGGGTGGCGCCATAATATCCCTGCCTAGATCAAGGGTAGGGAACTTCCGGCCAGCGGGCCACATACGGCCCGCAAGATCATTTCGTCTGGTCCACCAACGGAATTTAATTTATATGAATCCAATAGCAATTTACAACTAAAGAACCAATTGTTTTATGCTTTTTAAAAATATTACTTTATTTTTATCTTAAAATAGTAACTAATCTAAAAAAAATTGATGGTGAAGAATATTTACTTACATTAATTTGCAATCATATATGTTTCAGTTCATGTTCTATGTGTAATGGGTGGATAATATATAAGGGGGGGGCGTAAACATATGTGTATGCCTGGGGCGCCGGTCCTGAATATGTATGGCCCGCGAATGCCGCTATAAATATCCAATGGGCCTTTGGCAGAAAAAAGGTTCCACACTCATGGTCTAGATCCACAACAAAAGGGTCCTGTTTTATAAAGCTTACCTTCTTCTGGTTTACAGAACACATAAGATGCCCAGCTCAACAGAAGCACACCTACACACTTGTACACTGTGTCAAATCTCTTCCACAACATGATCGCACTTTCACCAGCACAGCCTTCATGCAAAATAAGCGTATTTATCCAGCATGTGTCCAATACAAAAGTAGGTCACAATGAAAACTAAAACCTCAGATTTTAAATAATTTTGTTCACATTGTCTGAAAAGTGGACGTCGCGGTGTTTAAGTCGTGTCGTTGCACAATAATAAAATTATTATGCGACATTACAAAAATCCACAGGCTGGTAAAAGAGGATGACGTCATCTCAAGGTTCTAAATTTTGTAGTACATTTTGTTTGTTTGCTTTTTCAATTTTTTTCATAGTGTTGGAATCATATTTATCTGTATCAATTCAGTTATCGACAGTTAGCCCATAACAGGGTGCACATCGATCACACGGAACCAATTTATCGGTTAGATCTACTCACGTTGCCCCCTGCCCTCCCCCGCTATCAATTCTATAGAACTAATGTTTCTCTCCAAAGTTTTTTTTGTAATAAAGGGCCTCATTTATTGTATATCAATATCACGAAAACCTCAGGATGAAATGAACGAAAAAAATTAGATTTGGATTTAAGATCAGATGATTGATACAAAAAAATCCAAATATTTTATCAGCAGCATAGCCATGTGGAGTATGCAGTTTGTTTTTAAGCAAAGAGTTGTTTAGATCTTGTGGATCTTCATTGCGGCCCCCCGCGGGATTAAAAGGCAAGGACCACTGTCCTAAGTTATCATTCGTTACGCTTTTAGGACACACATGGTGGTCGCTATCGTCACGTCACAAGTGGCCTTGACGATAGCTGGACAGTCAGAGATAGAGAGACTGGGAGAGATATCAACGAGATGTGAAAACAGAGAAGTATATTCTATTTTTAAACATCAACGCTGGTTTGCAAGGGGACATAAAATCGTACGTAAAGTTGTACGCTGCGGAGCACCATGGCAACCTTAAACATTTTGATCCTGAGTTAATGTTTTGACTAAAACATTCGAAACAAATTTTGGGATTTAAGAAATACACTATACGTAGCTTAGATTCTACCATCTGATACCATTGCGATATTGTGGTGGTTAGTTGTGTGGAGTTAGCCCTTGTGATTTCCTCCAGCGAAAACCACACCATCGTCTCCTTGGGACGGACGGATGACATTAAAAAAAAAAAAAATATGGGTTGTAGCAGAAATTGATGTTGTATATATTTGTTTTAAATATCTCATAATTTGAGGGTCATTCAGCCTCTGTTATCATTCAGCATTTGTGGTCACTCAGCCTTTGTTGAAATTAGCCAATTCCGCTGACTGACCGGTCCTCATTGAAATAAATCAAATTTCGTGGAGCCAGTGTTACATATCTTCTTCATTTTCGTTCAATTTTTCAGACATTTCCTCAGACACGGAATGACAACCAGAGCCGCCACGTGGGCTCTGCAACCCTTGCGTTAGCAGAGGTGGGATTGGGGGTGGGCTCGGATGAAGGACAAACAGTTGTGATTTTGAGATTTTTAAACTATAACTTTGAGTGCAGGATGCACAAAACCTAAAAGTTGCAGGTGGTCTCCGAACGTCCCACGAAGTCTCTGCAACAACTGTACGCACCATGCGCATGATATTTTTTTAATCCCCGAAAAAAAGATCAACTGCTCCTTTGATAAATTTGCAATAAGACCAAAAACAAATCACGCTTGATATATTTTGTTTAACGCTGCGAATTTAAAAAGGAAAAGAGGGGGGGGGGGGGCGAGAATCGAATGTCGCTATGATTGAGCTGCACAATGTCCACATCAGAAATCAACTCGAATGTCGCTATGATTGAGCTGCACAATGTCCACATCTGAAATCAACTCTAATTACTAATATACTATTGTATTGTAAAACGAAAATGGTGAAACGTTGTAGCTTAATTAGGGGCTTTAAGAGTTAAGATAAGTAGGATGAAGCTTTATTTAAGACTGGACAAACTTTTTTCTTAAACTCTTCTTCAACAGACACAACATATTTTTAATTTATCATTTATATGCCTATATATTTATTTTAAGGAAAAGGGCTGATACTGATACGAATTAGGACTTAGGGCCGTGGTCATATAACCATTTTAATTCATTTAAATATATAAAAGAAGCTTGAATGTTTTCTATTTGGGCTCTAAACAACGAAAATTTATTTTCTAATTCAGTAATGGAAGATTCCTCTGATATTTTTATGGCATACATCGTGGGAACGCAATTTTGACACAGTAAATAAATATTTGAAGCACCGATAAATGTTGATGCGCTTTGTAACTATACACCGTTGAAGTTTTAAAATGGCTACCTACAGCTGATTTGTATCATGATTATTTTCACACGCATCTGTGATCTTTTATAGTTACACATTACATGCCTTCATTTTTAATATATTCATGTATTTCAGCTTGAAATCAGAAATGGATCATGAGGTTAACTGCTGTTTAAGCAAGACTTTTTATCTTCAAATTAATTACTATATTCTAAGTGCTTAAAATATTGAATGAAGTGAATGTCAATGTAATGTAAATTATAAATATATTACGCCTAACACTAACTAGGAGGGGTCTAAGCTTTAATGCTAATATTATTAAATATATTTATGTATACCATCTATACTGTACAGAAATTTATATCTAGTCTAGGCCTAGTCCTATCTTAATAATAAAAAATTGTTAGTCTAGAACTAGAAGTACTAGTAATAGTAATAGACTAGTAGTCTGTAAATTAGCACAAGAAGAGTTGTCACTAGGTGACTGTGACTACTCTAACTCTGAGTACTCTTAGTCTCTAACCCCACACTATTTGTAGTTTGTTCTGTTGACTGAGTCAAATCATTTCTGATAGAATAGCTGAGGACTGATTCCTGAAGCAGAGTAGATCAAACCAAAGTATTAAAGTGAGAGTCAGATACTACTAACTCTCTTCGGACTCTAATTTAGTAGAACTGATTGTTAATAAATTCAAGCTTATCATGAAATTTTAAAAATGATTTAATGCATTAATTAAATACTTTCAAAATCATGGGATAGTTAAGCTAAAAGTGATAGAAAGCTATTAATTGAAACTTAACAATGCTACATTTTGAATTGTGCCACTGATTAAATCCAAATAAAAATCCTAAACCCTATTGCCTATATAAGATCTATTTCACCATTCTCATAAAGTTACAGCTAGGCTAATAATATATACCTGTAATGTTAAACTGGTAGTAATGATGGTTAATGAGTTAAAGATCTTGTTCAGTTTTAACAAAAATGAAATATGAAATTATGCAACAGATTCTGATAGAATATTGAGCAATACATTTTTCAAAAGTTTAATGCATATCTATGCAAAAAGTTATATATCAAGTTATTATTTTAAAAAATTATGTTCATTTTTAAGGATCAAGAAACCATTGAAAGAGTGATTCATCAACAACGTCAACTTTCCAAGTTAATTGATGAACGCCAAACAGAAAACTGTAAAAAAGTCATAGATGAACTTGCTAATCCTCAAGTCTTAACCCTCTTTCCAAATGTTCTTGATTGCTATTTATACCCACATCAGCAATCCTCCCCTTTGCTACATGCTATTACAAAAGGGCAGCCTGAAATTTCCCTCTACCTCCTGAAATGTGGTTGTGACCCTCACAGTGACGTAAACCAATCAAGATATGGTTCTTTAAAATCCTCAGAAACGAAAATGTCAAAATCATTATTTCGGGTTGTTGAAAAATCAGGATTTGAAAGAGTGTTCAAGAAAATTTTGGAAAAATCTGACAAACTAATTGTAGACAAAAATGGAGACACAGTTTTACATGTTATTGTCAAGAAAAAACTTTGCTCCATGTTTGAAATTGTTATTAAATCTCGTTGGCTACCAAAGATGATAAAGCATGTCAACAACCAAGGATTTCTTCCCATGCACATAGCAGCTGGTTCCAACTTTGCACAGTTTTTTCAGATTTTTTATCAGTCCCTTTCTCCTTTGGAAGTATTGCAATCAAATTTATATCCTGATGGACAGGAAAACGTCTCATCTTATATGAATGAAAATTATGATTTAAAAATATATATCCAGGAGGCTTGTAGCACTTTAAGCATCAACACACAAGTACTTGGGAAAAAAATAACAGCCCTACACTTAGCTGCAAGTGAAAGGACTTTGCAAATGGTGCAGATATTACTTAAGCTTGGAGCAGATGTTAATGCTGTTGATGAAGCAGGAAAAACCCCTCTTGTTGAATGCCTGGATCAGCGTGGAGATAAAAATATCTCACCTTCTTCAGCCTCTGATCTACTTCAAGTGTGTAAAGTTCTGCTTCAGGCAGGTGCAAATGTAAATGTCAAGAGTAATATAAGGTACTCAGAACGCCGATCTATGGCTAATGATGATATATTAACACCACTTCATTTAGCAGCAGGGATTGGTTCCAGAGACATCGTAGAGCTCCTTCTGAACAATGGGGCCAATCCCAGCCAGCTCAGTGGGGACATTGGGAAGATACCTTTACAATTTGCTCTTGAACAGGGTCACAATGAAGCTGCTTTGGCACTTCTCTCTTGTGACCTCTATCCTTCAGGATTTTTAGCTTCTCACCTAGACTATGCTTTTAATTCTCTGCTACATTATGCTGACAAATGTAGTGCAGAAGTGATAGGTAAGCTGGTTAATCTGTCATGTCCTTTAGATCGGCCGAATGTCAACCACCTACGGCCTCTAGATAAAGCCATATCTAGTAGAAACACGCATTTTGTGGAAGTTCTGTTGAACACTCAACCACGCATAGTCAATGTTCATCTATACCAAGACCCAGCTGCTTACCCTCCCTTACACCTAGCAGCCAGCTCGGGAAATGTTAAACTTTGCCAAATTATTCTTTCTTATGGAGCCGATATTTATGCAAGACCATATGGGAAACACAGAGCATACCGCAAAGCTTTCAAGTTCAACCGTTTTGAGACTGGCATTTTTCTGTGTGAACAAATGTCTCGTCCATTCTCTATTTCAGAGAAAGAAGAACTGTTGATGCAGGAAAATACATTAAGAGTTGTAAGACCTGACCTGGCTAAGAGATTGAAGCACAGACTTGATGAAGTCCCCACTTTGGTTTTGTCTTGTCTTGATGTTATCAGGAGCGAAGTTATCAAGAATCACCTCAGCTTTAAGGGCATTGAGACATTACCTGTTCCTGAAGCTGTTGTCAAAGCTTTGAGATATCAAAACATTGATTGTCTGGAGACCGAACAAATGACTACAGTTCAGATTCAAGCACTATCAACATCCATTTATTGAGAATAACCACTTATTCAACAAGTGATTAATCATAATAGAGATTGATTGCATTATGTTTTTTTAATGCTGTTATTAGTGTTATTAAGGGGGATTATAAAAAATCCTCATTTGAGGTAAATTTATGTTTAATAGTTTAATAGGGACATAAACTTCCTTGTCTGTTTTTAATTATAAAATATTTAAAAAATGTAAGAAAAGTGTACATGGCATTACTGGTACTGGTACAGAATTTAATTTTGGTAATGCTCAAAATTTTAAAATATTTTATTCTTAATTTAGTCATTTCTTTTGAAAATGAGTAACATTCTTTGCTGTATATGCTCTTAAATACTGGTACATATTTCAAGCCTAAACATATCTTTTTCCACTATTTGCTCCTAGTGGTGTATATATAGGCTGTGTAGAAATCCTCTACAATTATCTCTGTTCTGTTATGAGTTATGCTTACCAGCTCACTCAAATTATTGTTGTTAATGAATTTTTTCTCGTTCCCTGTGTCAAGGTCCCTTCTCCATGTGTCCAGCATTCTTCCTCTCCTGTAGATTTCACAATGGATGTTGGGTTGATTTTTGTTTTCTCAGTGTATGGCCTAAACATGTCAATTTCTTTCTCTGTATTTCCAACTTTCACTTAAGATCTTGTTTTGAATCTTTTCAAACCATTCTTTGTTTTTTTTAATAATTAGGATCTTGTGCAAACAACCATTGATCAAAATGTTATTGAGTTTGGTGGTTCATATATTTCATACTCATGGAGAAGAAATAAATTGATTCAATTATTTTTTAATATACCGGTATTTGCCAACAAATATTAAAAGTAGTAATGGATTTTGTATTAGCTGAAAAAAAATGTGCTTGTAAATCTGTATTAAATTACACAACATTATTTTTTAAAACTATTGTTAATTAAGTTTTTAAAATGTGCCTTTTTTGTTGCTTTGTTCAGATGTATATAGGTTTATTGAATTAGATGCATTAATTGTAAGGCTAAGTAGGTAAGCCAGCCAAAGGGTAATGGGGTAATATCAATGATCATATTAAAGTAAAAAAACTTTAAAAATGAAAGGAATCTTAAGTGTTATTGTATTGTTCTAATTTACGATGGATTTCTTGAATAAAGTTTTGTCTTTTTAATGTTTTCAAAGTTTGGTTATTCATTGAATTTAAACATGATTATATAAGTGATTTCGAGAAATACTTTGTCTTCCATGATGCAAGTGATGCCTTTATTAAATTTATTATTATGGATATAAGGAACAAACTTATCAGATTTAGTCATTAAACAATATTTCTATCCTACCCAGCATCAGATTGCATGAAACAATATTGAACATGTTCATTTTTCTCTAAAACTATTTGGAAGATATATTTAGCAAGTCTTCTATAAAGAGCTTTTGACTTCTGTCTTCATATCTTATATCTGAATATGAAGACACTCTCTTTAAAATTGTTACTTAAATAGCAAATTAATTACTAGTCAAATCTCTTGCACCACTACATCTCATGAGCTGGACAGACACCTCCATTTATCAATAGAGATTTGTGCCAACTTTGTGTATAAAGATCATCATTAACATACGCTGCTAAAGACTTCATAATTAGCTAGCTTACTTACTTATTGGGTTTGTAATTTCTAAGACTGGGAAATGTCACATCACATTACGTAATGTTACAATTTGTAGACAATGTTTTCATAAAACATGGCTCCTAATAAAGTATTTTCACATATATAATATAGCAGTAACAGTTTGTTGGTAAAATCTTTCGTAATATAAAGTTGTAAACACGTTTTAGTCTTGGTTAAGACCCACTGTGCTGGCTCACATTAACATAGAAGTACCGAACAGCTGTTGAGAGATTGGCCAAATGGAATACAGGGATGTTTTATTAATATCTTAATGAGATAGCCCCGACTGTACGCCTGGATGTTCTATTAATAGATCTCCTCCATTAAATGACAAACCTGATTGGCCAAGAAGTCATGATTTAATTTCCTCTATTCTTAAAATTAAATCCCATAGTTGTTTGATATTGTGTAGTTCTATCTTGTACTTGTTAATACAAAAGATGAACTTTGTAATTCTTGTGCATAGCGGGAGCAATGTTCTGTTATGATTTTTTCGTATTGTAGTACAGTATCTTGAAAAAAATATAATATTCTAATGTCCGTTTATAAAAATGTAGAGTATAATACACATCAAGACAAGATGCTTAGATGGTTCCAATTTGTTAAAGTAGATTTTAAAATTTAAGGGAAACTTAAAATCTATGGTGGACTATTTAAATAAACTTCATGTATTTTTGGCAAGATTAATAATAATTTTTAAACATAGATTTTGTTTAATGTGATGATATGTGTTGATATGTATTTTTCTGCTTAACTGTTGCCTTTTTCTAACATTGATTGTACATAATTGATGAAATATTGCATAATAAATTAAATCTCTGCCATCAACTTCCTTCTATTAACTTCTGTATAATTTTATCTTTAAAAATGCAATTTTTTGTGTTGCCTTTTGCATCTGATCAAGGGTATATCCATTCATGACTTCATGCTATTTAGCTTATTTTTTTACCCCCCCCCCCTTTCCGCTCCCTCTTTTGTCACATATTGTCACACAAATTAAGGCACCCAAATCACAAAAATGTGACCACCACCCTCCCCAAAAGGGACATCATTTACAGATTGCCCATAAACTGGATCTCCAGAGTAATGATGATATGTTTATTAGACTCACGCTGAAGATAGTGCACGTATTAGAGACACACTAAAGATGGTGTGCTTATGAGAGACACACTAAAGATGGTGTGCTTATGAGACACACTACATAAGTTGAGCTTATAAGAGACACACTAAAGATGGTGGAGTTATTAGAGACACACTTAAGATGGTGGGATGCTCAGAGACACACTTAAGATGGTGGGATGCTCAGGGACACACTTAAGTAAGATGGTGGAATGCTCAGAGACACACTGAAGATGATGGCATGCTCAGAGACACACTGACGATAGTATGATGCTCAGAAACCCACTGAAGATGGTGGGATGCTCAGAGACACTGACGATGGTGGGATGCTCAGAGACACACTGAAGATGGTGGGATGCTCAGAGACACACTGAAGATGGTGGGATTCTTAGAGACACACTGAATATGGTTGTGTTATAAAGAGACATACTAAAGATTGGAGAGTATTATACACACTACAGATGGTTGGTTTAATCAGAGACCCACTGAAGATGGTAGATTGGGTTATTAGAGACACACTAAAGATGGTGCGCATATTAGAGACACTACAAATGGTTGGGTGATCAGAGACCCACTGAAGATAATGGGCTTATTAGAGACACAGTACAGATGGTGGGATTATAAGAGTCATACTTAAGATGATGGCGTCATAAGAGACAAACTAAAGATGGTGGGGTCATAAAGAGACACACCAAAGATAGTGGGCTTATAAAGAGACACAATGAAGATGGTGGGTGTGTAAGGGATGCCACAGTTAAATTGAATATTATTGTATGTGTTGATTTTGGCAAATGGATTTTCAAGCTACATTTATTTTAAACTGACTTGCTCATTTATACAAGACCAATTAAGATAGCAGTTGTTTTCAGAACAGTGGAGTTGGACAAAATGTATTCTTGATGATCAGACGGAGTTTCATTGTCTGATGCTTTGAGAAATCTCTTTTCTGACTTCAAATCAGGAGCTATAGAAGCAGGCCTTGAAAGTTCGAATGTCGATAGTCTTTTTTTATTTTAAGTTAACACTTTCTAAAGATGCCCATGGGATACAACTCTAAGTATTTACTGGTGGATCCTGGGTTGTGGCGGTCATTCAGTGTCTTCGGATGGGATGAAGAGGTAGATTCAAGGACCACAAATCAGCACTTCGTCTAGCTATGCCACTGTCCCAGTGCGATTAAAAACTAAGCAATCATAACCAGTGTACCACTTCTAACATTCTATTCTTTAGAATATATATAATTTAATTTTTTGTGGTGGAAAATCCTAAATGACATTCTGATTTGATGGTAGAAGTAGAAGGCACAGAGACGATATTTGAGTTAGGGAATCACACTAAGACCCAAAAGGGCAATTTATCATTGATACATTTTAAAATAGAATAAAATCACTTTTAATAAATAAAGTTACTTAATATTATAAATAGCCATATAAATAAATATTTAATATATGTTTATTTAATTGAGTGATGTTCTGATCATCTTGATGTTATGTCGTCAGTAACACTTGAAGTCGGTTTAGGGAATGACCATACAATATACTGGAGAGAAAACAGTCAGTTTTAAACATTTATGTTTATTAACTGTATTTAAATGTATCATATTCATCTCAAATAATATTTGTATACAATTTCAACCTATAAAAATCGCGATACATTAGAAAATTTAATGAGCTAATAATGAGTAAAGTTACCTAGCCATACCCTATATCATATAGGCCTATCATATCAGAGATCCCGGTAAAAAGTAAAATTAAAAATTAAAAGGAAGGGTACGAGTACAGTAACAGTGTCAGTACAGTACGGAGGGACCCAAATCCAAACTTAATAATTTAATTTACTTTATTGCAAAATTGAATTAATTTTGACAATTAATTTTAATTTTGACATTTTTATGACAGGATATATTGAATCCGATATTGTCTGAAATAATGGCCATCACCATCAGTATTTACTAGTTATTTAGTAATGGCATTTATTTAATGTGATTAAAAATTATAATTAAGGGATATTTTATGGACACAAAATGTCCAGTGAAGTTGACATTGCATGCACAATCTTAGTCTTAGACTCTTAATTAGAGGTATTAGTATTAGTATTAAAGCATAATATTTATTTAAGTCTGAACCATAACAGTTAAAATTCATAAAAGTTTCGTGTAGGCCCACTACATGTGCTCCTCACCAGTCCATGCCATTGTGAAGTGATAATGGTGTCAGGCTTGCTAACTCAATAAAATAAAATTTATGGATAAATATTCTAAATATCCACAAATTTAAACTATGACGCTTAAATAAAGTTCAACGATCCCTTTGACCAGTGGCGTCACTATTGGGTTTCAGGGTATGCGAGTCACACCGGTTGACAACCTGTTAGGAGAGTGACACCAATAGGAAAATTGCAAATTCGACGCAGCTCACATGAGCCGGTTTCATAACATGCATTAGTATTAGACCAAGGTACCACTAGACATAGTTTGCCACCAAAACAGACTGCCACAAGAACATCTACTGCATTTTTCCATAAGATCAGTGGCGTAAAGAGCTTACATTTGTGATGCTCAAATTGGATCATGATTTGGCGGCGCTCACATCAGACCATAAAAAAATAAGAAAAAAAGTTGGGTGGTGACCAATGTTCCCTCTAAGGTTTGTTGGTTCGTGTGCTAAATTATACAGTTGTGTGCAAAGTTTTACAGCATCAATTTTTTTGTGTGCAAAATTTACAGCCCATAAACAAAAACACACACTTACATGGAAATTTGCTGCGCGGTACTCAAAACTCATGCGCAGCGTCTGTGAGATAGCTGCGCGGCCGCGCAGCCGCTCAGCTTAAAGGGAACATTGGTGGTGACACCATTGAGTTACAGCACCGGTTGACACTAACCTTAAGGACTCCTCTGCCTTAGACCATATTTCTTTTTTATATCTCATTGTTGTTATAAAATTTTAAATCAAGCAAGAGGAAATAACAATCATTCAAATTTCTCATCATATTTGGATCAGAAAATGTTTTTACTATGTTTTATTTTTTCATACATCCCAATGTTCTTACGGACAAGTCATTTTATATTATAAATCAAAATTTGCCAACTGTCTGTAAATTTGTGGATGGCTGACAACCCTGACTGGTCTACAATTGTATTTGGTGCACTGTTATGGAATAGTTATAACTATTAATAGTACTAATGTAGATCACTTGGTAAAATTATTTTTAAAATGTACGGTATCGTCATCATTCATTGAGATATCTTAATTGGTAATCTTACCACTGGCACACCTCATTCACAAACTTTCTTTTTACTAAAATGTGGTATACCGGTATTTTGAAATTTAATTAAAAAATTTTTTTTTATGTCATGTAAATTATTTGCTTGTATTACCTTTTTTCTCTTATTTGTGCAGCTTATTATACGAAATGGATCCAAGTTTTTAGTTCAGCTTCACAATTAACAGATACCTTTCATTTACAAGAATGGCTTTAACTATTCTTCATTTCAATGATGTGTACAATATTGAAGGCCAAAAAGATGAACCACAAGGTGGTGCAGCTCGCATGCAGTCATACATAAAATCACAGAAAAATGATAACCCAATTGTTCTTTTTAGTGGGGATGCTCTCAATCCATCACTGAGTGAGTTGATAAAATTTTTACATTGTCTGTAATTGTTTATTTTAAAAAATGGTGACCTATGATTTGTTCTGGTGCTGCTGTTAGATGGACTTAAAAATGAATATTAGCAATCTGAAACACTTATGCTTCTAATACTTAGCCTAAAAGATGCTTCTTGTTCTCTTCTTGGCAGTGAGCATATTTCTGAAAGGAGACCAGATGATATCGGTATTAAATGAGCTTGGAGTTGCTGCAGCTGTTTATGGCAATCATGACTTTGGTAATTATACATTTATGGGCCGGCCCAGTGGACACTATTAGTATGGTCTCCAAAACCAATGTACTCTCATCCCACCTCCCCATCACAGCTAATTAAACCAATGTACTTTCATCCCACCTTTCGACCCCCATCCTTGAGCTTCACTCCTCCCCAAACCCCCTCCCTTCCCCTGAAAAAAACCCAAAGACACAAATTCAGTTAAAAATATTTTGAAAGTCTACAATACTATTATCCTTATTTAGAGAATACAGTTGAAACAAGTTTTGCAGCAGTTGCATATTATTTGTGTTTTAACATGCATTCTTTAATCATATATATAATCTAAAGATTCAATTGAAATAAAGCTTTGTCTCCATGTATTAATGAGATGGTTTGAAAAATAAAATAACATGTCCAATGTACTGGTTTTATGTCATTATCATGATGCTTAGTTTTTCGCATTTACGACCATCAAAATACAATTCTTTATATTGATTGCACAAACTGTAAACATTTTCATTGTATAGTGTAATGCCTGTGACATTAATTTGTTTTAAACTAAACAATAACAGACTTTGGAGTAGATCACCTTGAAGATTTTGCTGAAAAATGCAATTTTCCCTGGTTATTAAGTAATGTCAAGGACATGGTGAATAATGAACCTCTGGCCCGTGGAGAGACTCACGTTATCATAGAGCATGCAGGAATCAAAGTAAGCTATTCATTTTTATTTATCTTTGCAATTGTTTCATTGTATTACAAAATGTCTGGTAATTAGAGAGTAATCATTTCTGAGATGAGCCGTTTAAAAAAATTAAATTGTCTTTTGAAGATCTTTAACAGGATCTTTATTCAGCAGTATATTTTATCATTTAAGAAGACCCTCACCTTAATTAGTTCAAGCTATTAACATTCTGATAAAGCTTTTGGTTCATTTATGCAATTTAGAAGAAAAAGACAAATCATTTATTGCAATGAAACTGAAATGGACAATACATTTTTATTGGCTACTGTCTTAAAGAGTAACATAAATTAAATAATGTACATTTTAACAGCTTTAGTAAAATGAACCTTTTTTATACTTGATTTGACATTAAATTTGTAAAGAGAGAAACTCTAGTGTTCTGACATGAAAAAATTAGTGGACTCCTATCGTTCCAGTGGATTGGCTATAGTCTTTGGGAAAATCTTCTTTCTATACAGTTTATATGCACATATTTAAATCTGTTATATACTTTTGTAAAAGGTCTTTATTTTACTTTCAGATAGGTATTATTGGGCTAGTGGAAGTGGAATGGATTGATACACTCTCAACTTTAGATCCTGAAGATGTTACATTCATTGATTATGTAGAGTCTGGACAAAACCTTGCAAGGATTGTTAGGCAACTGGTTAGTGCTCAAGATTTTTTTTTACCTTAAAGTATTTTAGTAAATGCAAGACTGCCTGGTCAGCTTAATCACACTTCAATCAATTTTATGTTGCCACCTTAACACTGAATGATATAGTTAATATTTGTTACATGAGTCACAATCAATAACACTAACACAAATCTTCATTGATGCTTTCTCAGGGGGCACAACTGGTGATTGCCTTAACTCACATGAGAAGTCCAAATGATGAGAGACTTGCAGAGAATGTCCCAGATATTGATATCATCCTTGGCGGCCATGATCATGATTTTGAAATAATAAATGTTGGTTTCAGGTTTTACAACATTTCAAATGATATAAGGAATCTTTCCTTGATTACGTTTGCATTTTTCAAAATGAAGTTACGGAGCTATTTCAAAAAAGAATTATTATTTTATTTTTTTTTTTGCTTTTAATTTTTTTTATTGAATGATTTCATTTTCTTGAATATTAAAACCCAAAACCCAAAGAAGAAGAGCAATACAATTTATAAGTGGAGATTCTGAAATAAAAATAGTACTTTAATTACATGGTTGGTCTCGCTGTAGTGTGGTTGACATGAAGTCATTGATTTCAGCTGTAATTCCTCATTATTTGTGTGGCAGGTCAAGGGGAAATATGTTGTTAAAAGTGGAACTGACTTCCGCAATATGAGCAAAATAACAATGACACAGAACAACAACAATAATGGGAACTGGGATGTGAAGGTGGAACGTGTGGATCTCAACTCCAGTATTCCAGAAGATACAGAGATGAAAAAAATTGTCATGAAAAATCTTGGTATAAGACTTTATTAGTGAGATTAGTAATAAGTTTAATGTGATTGGTTGGTAAATTTAGATGTTTATCTTTTAAAATTTATAATTTCGGGGCCTATTTGTATGAATGAATATTTATTATTTATTAAATTAAAAGTTTAACATACCTTAAAAATAGGATTTCATTACCTTGAAATACTTTGATACTTTAAAGGAGCTTTTCAGCTGCATATTTTTTTCAGAAAGTGTAGAAAGTAAAATGGACACTTATCTTGGCTACATGAATGTGGAAATGGATGGAAGATTCTCATCAATCAGGACACAGGAAACTAATCTAGGTTTGTGATCTGTTTTCAAACTATTTAGCCTCATAAACTTTTTTAGCCTTGACTTAATGTTAACCCATTCCTGACGCCAATGTACTTCCGTTCTTTATTTATATTCCTGAACAAAGGGAATAGCTGCTAAATATCAATGAATTATTGATAGATGCATCCAAAAATGAATTTGGTTTAATGAAAATTAAAATAATAGTGGTGAACAAATAACAAGTAATTAGCAAAAAAACTGATACTTGGCACCTCACAATAAGACATGCTAGATATAAATGCATCACACTAAAGCACTAAAGCGAAACAAGATTAAATGAAGTTTGTTAAAATTGAAATCATGCCATCACCTTTGGTCTATAGGGATGCAAGATTTCATTGCTATTTTAAAATAAAAATGCGAGAGGTGTGTTGCTACATGCCGTGGTCACATTTGGATGTGTCTGTTGGGAACCCCCCCCCCCCCCCCACACATTTAGTCCCAACCTTCAGGGATGAGTTAATAATAGCCTTTATGATGTTTTCTTAGTTATGACATTCAACATTCAAGTTTTACATTTTTTTAAATATATTTAACAGGAAACTTCATCACTGACATCATCCTGACTGCCACCAAAGCTGATTGTGCTTTACTGAACTCTGGAACTCTCCGCTCAGATCGCATTCACGCAAAGGGAGAGTTTAGGTTAAGGGATCTGCTCACAATCCTTCCCTTGGTGGACTCCCTGGTTGTCATCAAAGTCACAGGTAGTTTGATACTCTGGCCAGAGAAAGAATCACTTCCTGTTTCAAGTAAAAACAAGTTACTTTTGATCTGTTAGTAGTCAATAAGAGGTTTAATTGTCATCTGTTTGTGCCATTGACAGTGTTGTTTCATTGTTTTTTCATTGATTATTTAGGTAGCCAGCTGATAGAAGCACTGGAAAACAGTGTTAGCAAATATCCCGTCAAAGAGGGCAGATTCCCACAGGTCGCCGGGCTCAGCTTTGGGTTTGATCCTACTAAACCACCTGGCCAGAGAATTGGTAGGCAGCTGGTTCGTGTGCAAGATGATTACATTGACTTTGATAAGGTAAAAAAAAAAAAAAAAGCCAACAACTTTCAAATTTATTCATTCCACATTTTCGGGGAAAAGATTTTAGCAGTCATTGTTCTGTTGTTTTTTTTTGTATCTTCTTTTTTTTTCCACAATGGTAAGGGCAGATTCCCACAGGTCGCCGGGGCCAGGTTTGGGTTTGATCCTACTAAACCACCTGGCCAGAGAATTGGTAGGCAGCTGGTTCGTGTGCAAGATGATTACATTGACTTTGATAAGGTAAAAAAAAAAAAAAAGCCAACAACTTTCAAATTTATTCATTCCACATTTTCGGGGAAAAGATTTTAGCAGTCATTGTTCTGTTGTTTTTTTTTGTATCTTCTTTTTTTTTCCACAATGGTGTTATAGTTTCTGTTTTTTAAATTGTTAAGTTTAATCAGTTGGCTTTTTTTAAATAGTTTCTTTGTACTATTATTATATTATAAGCAAAACCAGATATTGCAAACACATAGCTAATTATTTCATTTACCACCAGATAAGGTTTAGTAGTAGACTCATTCTGATGGCAGTGCTACTTCCGTACTTAGTGTTCCCCATCAAAGGGAAGTAACTCTGTTTTGCCATTGATTTATGATTAATGACTAAAAAATTGATTTTTGGCACCCCGGAAGAACACATGCTAGATAAAGACACACCTTACTAAAGCCCACAAAGATTGAAAGTGAACCATGATAAAAACTTCAGATTTTTAAAACTGAAATCACCCAAGTCTCGAGAGTCGCGAGATTTCATTGCTATATTTTAATAAAAATGAGAGAGGTGTGTCGCTACATCCTGTGACATATTTGGACGCATCCGAACCACAGGAGGACGCATTTAGTTGCAACCTTCGGGAATGAATTATTGGAAAGCCTCTTGATCATTTGAGAGTTTCTAAAAAAATGTTTAACCCAATTTCAGATTTGTTCATGCCATCAGTATTAGTATTGGGGTCTTGAAATGTCATGTTTTACACCTTGAATCTATTAATTACAGGACTACAGACTGGCAACTAAAGAGTATGTGGCTCAAGGCAAGGACGGCTTTGATGTATTCAAGCATTGTGAAATTGTTGTGAGTTCTATTTTAGCGCCTTTAATTCTAAATATCCTTGAGCTCATATGTTTTGCATTCCAGAAAAATGTTGCATGTATTTTAAGTCTTGAAATACAGAAAATTTCTTACTGGGTTTTCCTTTTTTAAAGGTCATTTTTTAAAGTTTTGTCTTTTTTATTTCTGAAAAAAGATAGTGAAATAATAATTGACTTTGCTCTCAATTTTATGAAATAAATTTATGCAATCTAACTTTTTTTTTTTTTTTAATATTATGATTAAGATTTATAATGAGTATTATTAAAATCTGTCTTGTTTCCTTTTATTTGGGGGGTGTTCCCCTAAATTTAAACAATTTCTTTATTACTTTTATTGATCCAGATTAATGCAGAGCAATGTCCATCGTTATCAACAATGGTTCAAAATCACTTTGATGCTGTGCGAATTTACCTGGGGGAAATGGAGTGCAAATCTGGGCACAGACAGAGTCTTGTAGCATTGAAAAAGTGAGAATTTGGTCTGTTACTATAGGTATCTGCCATATATATCAGCGAGAAAATGCTACTTTAAAGTAGGGTTTGCATTGTACGAGAATGTAAGAAATTTTTCAATTATCTGTACAGGATATATACTAATATCTATGCAAAAAAATCTCCTTGGCTAACTTGCATTTGTCGACCGACTGCACATCATATCTGTGTACAATACTAGTGATATAGCGCCCCTGTGACGGAATATTAGTATAGTTGAATCGGTTTGACCACTGTTTATTTTAAATATAATAATAATTTAAACAATTTTGACATTTTTCTTATAAATAACTACAAATTGTATTATTATGGAACAAGATTAATAGATGGCATTATATGTAGACATGTCTTTTAGGGTCTTTTTTTTATTTTTAAACAAAATGTTGGGAGTTTGCATTATACATGGATCACGTTATACATGATCATATTCTGTAGATACATCTTTTTAAACCTAGGGCCTTCTAGACATTTTTATAACATTTGTTTTTCTACATAATAATGTAAAGTTTAGAGATATTCAAAATGAGTTTCAATATCATAGAGATAATTATGCTGTTATTTTTCAGACGAGAAGAGTTTATCAAACAACTCAGCATGGACGCAGACAACAGCAATCGCCCCAGGAAGTTGATACGCCAAGAGAGCATTCATGGGCTAGAAAGTGAGCAGTGCTTTCTGACACCTAGAGTGGAAGGGAGGATTTACATCCTGGACGAAGAGGTAAATGCTCAGAGGTCTGATCAAACCTGGCACTATATTTGAGATTTATTAAGAATTTTATTTGATCATGTTTTGGTTAAATTAAATCTGAAATTTAGAATAATAGGATTCTTATTTGGGGTTATGGTGGGGGGGGGGGGTGTGTAAGCTCATGATTAGATAATAAATGAAAGGGAGAGGCAGTCAGAAGGGTTCAGTCCTAGACTTTCATTTAGATTTGATAGTTCTTCTTTTTGTTTAGCAGAGCATAAACAATGTGTCATGCAGTGGGGTTCAACCATTCGGGGATTGAATGGGGATTTAATGTTAACAACTTAGCCGATGTGCTCATCCAACAGTTTTGTCCAAAGCTGAAGCGGTAAAACTAATGATTTAATTTTTTATATATTTTACAGAAACTAGATGTGATGCAGACCCTTTTGCCAGGTGGGATGGCTCGTAACTTGAGCATGATAAAGGAGAGCTCAAGTTCATTCTCAGGAAGCTCTTTAAGTAGTCTAACCATTGAGGATAACTAATGATACCCAAAAGCCTTTCATTATTAACTGTACAATGAAATTTTTAACAATATATCATTATTTTTCTAGTTAGCATTGATATTGTTACTGTCAGATGGTTCAGGTAGGAACTTGTTTTTTTGTATTTCCATTATTATATGGATATGTTTTTGTCATGCATAATGAATCTTCACCTCGGTATCCAAACAAACAAGAGATTTTAAAGGCACTTGAGATTTTTTTCTATTTATTTGTTACAGAAATTAAATAAGAAATTGCATTACTTAAATAAGAAATAACATTATTAGTTGACCTATGCAATGCACAAAGTAAGGTAATTCCATTTAAAGTTTTTGGCAACTGACATCTCTTTAGATTTATGTAAATGACTTATTAGAACTATGAGAACTTCCAATGAGCTGCAGCTTAGTTTGAAGAAGAAAAAAAATGTTCATCACATCATTGAAACTAAATAAATTAAGAGCAACTATTTAGCTAACTAATTGGCTAATAAAACTGTTTTTTTTCTTTATAGATTAAAATAAATGTCCAAACTTTATCTTTAAGGGGACTCATTATGTAAAAGTTTAAAATGTGTAATTCACATTTCAGTAACAGTTATGACTACCTCATTTTCTTTTTTTTTTAGAAGCAATCCATAACATCAAGAGATGTGGTCCATATCATAACTACTCTGCTGACGTTATTTATTTGTGCATTTTTGAATCCACATATTTATATCGCTTTTGTACATGTTGTGACAATCTCATCTTTTTTTTTTTTTAAATATCCTAGTGACTGGAGAGACAATCATAAAGGGATGAAAGTTATCTTGTTCAACACAAAAACTCACAGACATTGTTTTCTGTTTATCTTTTTGTACAGACCTCCTGACCAAAGTTAACTGTTATTCAAAAATGTGTTTTATCGTTACTGTGAGAGACCAATATGAAACAAATTTACAATAACTAATAAGTGTTTAAATATGCAGAGTGATTATGAGCATGCATCATTGTATTAAATGACTAGCTAGCAATAATCTTTCATTCCACAACTTGTGATATTATCAACTGTTCATGGTTTCTATTTCATTATTGTAAAAAAAAGAACTGTGTCTAATATCTATATGAGGCAGTTCTAAATGTCCACACAATATTTTCATGCAAGTACAAGTTATTTTCTTAGTACAGGCTATAGGTTTCATAAGAATTATTGTTTAACACCTTTGTTTTTATGTCTTTGCCGGGTTTTTGTTGAATAGCATAATATTTCCATCCCATGGTCGATTTTAGAATTTCCATCGATGCTAATCCATCATGTGCTTTGCTGTGACATCTAATCTTCAGATGTGTTATCTCAATGTTATTAGAATTATCCACATTAAGGAAAGAAATCCTCACATTTTGCTGACTATTGCTTTCATATCAAAATATTCCACTCAACAATGTGTTTGTCTTGAATGAACGACCAAGAACAGTGATGAAAACAGTGGTTGATTTCCAGACGTGTTCCTCTTTCAGCGGCATTAATTGTTTACCTCTGATGTCACATTCGATACTTTTGAAAAAATTCAAGTATTTTCAGGCACTGACCAAGGTTTGATTACCTACTTGATTTATATTTCAGTAACTTGTGTTCCTATTGCTGCCTCTGTACTGTGTTCCTATTGCTGCCTCTGTACTGTGTTCCTATTGCTGCCTCTGTACTGTGTTTCTATTGCTGCCTCTGTACTGTGTTTCTATTGCTGCCTTTGTACTGTGTTCCTATTGCTGTCTCTGTACTGTGTTCCTATTGCTGCCTCTGTACTGTGTTTCTATTGCTGCCTTTGTACTGTGTTCCTATTGCTGCCTCTGTACTGTGTTCCTATTGCTGCCTCTGTATTGTGTTCCTATTGCTGCCTCTGCACTGTGTTCCTATTGCTGCCTCTGTACTGTGTTCCTATTGCTGCCTCTGTACTGTGTTCCTATTGCTGCCTCTGTACCGTGTTCCTATTGCTGCCGCTGTATTGTACCATGTTTGTTTTATGTAAGGGGCCCTCCATATAATAATATAATGTACACAAAAAAGTCAAATTTTCATCCCCCTTTCCCTACTCCCACCCATATCAATTTATTTAAAGTCAATTAATACGTGCAAGACAATTATTAAAGAATTCACCATGAACCGTGTTAAAAACAAATTGTCTCAGGTTTTCCACCATTTTTGTTGTTGGTGTGGAGAGTATCGAAGTAGCTACAATGTGTCTATACCGACAGTCTTTGGTTTAATTAACCTAAAAAAATATGCCACAGATGGACGGCCCTTAAGAATACATAATAATTTGTTCTAGCTAATTACTATTACTATTTTTTTTTTTAAAAATGCCACTTCAGTTTAGCTTACAACGAACCGCATTGGTTGTCGATCATTTTTGTCCAAAATTTGTTATACGATTACCAGCTGAGATAATGCCTCTATTTGTTGCTATTTCCATTGCGTGTGTGAAGGGCATACAGTTTTATGCACTTACTGTACATTCATTCAATAATTGAAAACATACTGTCTTCTACTGATGTTGTAATGTTAGATCATACATTTTTTTTTGAAAGTCATTTAGGTGAGAGATGGGAGAGCACCAAAAGAACTTTGAGCATCTGTCTTTCTTGGTGTAATTTTTTAATCAAAGCAGTATTTAGACTCATGTTAATAAGAACTGGTGTTTCAGTTCCTTAAAGGAAAATAGACATTTGAGGATGAGTTATTGCCCTTAAATTATCCTTTGAAAAATAGCTTTAATGAAATCAGAATAAGGTAATCCTTTGTCCAACAGCAATGTTTGCTCTAACTGCTAACATCATGAAGAAAAAGCTCTTTGTTGATGAAGGTAAATTCTTCTCTGGAGCTCTTACATTTCCATCTTTAAAAATTTAGCCCACTTTAGGAGCTCATTTTTGTTTGCTTTCATTGACTGCTGATGCTTTATAAATCTATATCTTTAAAAAAGTATAGAGATAATGAAAATGTTCTTCCAAGCCTTCTGTCAAATTTCAATTCTTCAGTTCATATCTCTTTTTGCATGCAAGATTTCTTGTTTTCAATTTTTGCTAAAAGGTTGCCTCTTTGCTGTTTGAATTGTAAGCTGCATTTAATCATGCTAATGTTATGCTTTATTTATATTATCTGAAGCTTCAGGAGGTTGTAAGAAAAAATATTGTAAGAAAAAATATAATCATTTGTACCATTCAACATATAGAGGTGAAAAAAATATATTTACCTACTACATAACATGAACATGAGGGAACATGAGATGCAACTATAGAAACTATACTACACACCACACTAGGACTAGATACAACTATGGAGACTATACTAGACACCATTGATTTAAAATAAAAATATCTGAGTATGGTATAGCCAGAGAACCATAAACCAACTGGGCATCTTTATGTTTACGTACGGATGTAGCACCTTGTAACTGTGATACTGTTGAGGTCTTAATGAAAAGTAAGGAGCCTATATTTACAGATTCGGTTTTATAAAAATAGCTCTCAACTTGAACCCCCTTACATTATTGAAGGATCACCTTCTGAAATGAGTGTTTGCATTCAAACATGTATCTACCTTTATAATTCATCATAATTAGATTGCTGTATCTTACATAATGTAACACTGATCTATACTGGTCAGTTTAGAGTTCAAAATGTCTGAATCGCTTATTCAAATGAATGGGAAATATGAACAAATATGTGCTAGTTAAGGATATTAACACAACAGAAGAGTAAGTATTAAAGTACTGACACCAACGGTAACATTGACCTGGGATCATAACAGGAACAAAGAATTATGAGAACAAAAAAAAACCGCTTAAAAAAGTGATTTTTTAAAAACATTTAAAATTGTTCATTTGCTTACAAAAATATTTAGGTAATTTTCAAGCCTTTGAGCGAGTTAGGGAAATTTTTTAATTCCATGTAGTTTAACGATGAGCTGTTATTTGCGTGATGAGTCTGACATGGGAAACAATTCTGATTTATATTGCTTATACATATACTAATGATTGGCACGATTTATAAAATAGTCTTGCATTTATTCTTGGTTAGCTTATATTCAAACATAATCTTATATACTATATTAATCTTTTGATTATATCATTGTTCACCTATAATTTTTTACTTTAGTTCTTTAAACAAATATTTTACATTGAATTGCTTGATCTGTCTGTGGTCAGTATATTTAAAACCAATACTTGTATTTTACAAAATATATTTCTTTCCCAGTATTCATTTTCTTGTGTTTTTATTACAGTAGTCAAGTCAGTTTAATTTATTTCTCAATGATTTTATTTGCATAGTTACAAGTCTTAAAAAACAATTATGAAAACAAAATAGTGTTCTTTGATAGATCCAAACAGAATGTAAAAAAAACCAAGATATTATCTTTTGATAGATCCAAACAGAATGTAAAAAGCACATTCTGATAAATTTTGTTTTAAACTAGCACAATTTCAATCTTAGACCTAAACCAGCTATCCTGTGTTGTCAAACTGCTCTCTGAAAGGCTCATATTGACAACAATTATAAAATCATCTAACAGGCAGGGAAGCACGCTGGTTAATCCTGACAGATTTGATCAAGACAGTTTATAAATAAAATAACTTAAAATACATGTGAAAACCAGATACACTCGATGATACAAAAATAATGGATTTGCCTAAATATTTTGATGCTAGAAATGCAGATCCCACCAGGGAAATTCAGATTGAAAAAAAAAAGAAATTTGAATTTTTTCCAGATTATTATTTTTAGAAAAATGTGAGATCACATACAAATTGGTAGAAAATTTTATTGCGTTAAATGTACATTCATTGTTTAAATCTAGCTGAAGATGATGATGATGATTGATTACCTGTATGCTGCTTGTCTCCATGCTATTCTAGCATGCTCAAAGCGATCTGCTGTCATAAAATCTTTTTAAAGAAAAATGTCTTTAAATATCTATTAAATTGTTTTTTATCATTTCAAATTTCCCTCCAAGACTGGCAAACTGTTCCATAATTTCGGCGCTACTGTTTCAAAAGAGCACACCCCGTATGACTTCTTTCTGTGTCCATCCACACTGGGAGCTCTCAGTAAGGACTGTGTTGAAGAGCGCCCTCGCATGACTTCTTTCTGTGTCCATCCACACTGGGAACTCTCCCTAAGGACTGTGATGAAGAGCGCACTCCGTATGACTTCTTTCTGTGTCCATCCACACTGGGAACTCTCCCTAAGGACTGTGATGAAGAGCGCACTCCGTATGACTTCTTTCTGTGTTCATCCACACTGGGAACTCTCCCTAAGGACTGTGATGAAGAGCGCACTCCGTATGACTTCTTTCTGTTTCCATCCACACTGGGAACTCTCCCTAAGGAGTGCGATGAAG